CTAGTTTAAGAAGTTATTTTTTACGGAATTTATATATAATAACTTAAAATATTAGGTTTTATAAGATATATCTTTCTATATATATTATAGATATTATTCTTAATTTTTATAAAATTCTGAGAATAGAATTATAGGAAAGATACTAGCTATATATAAGAGGCTAGAAATTCTTAAAATAAAGCAAAAAAAGCTTAAGAATTTATAGTATTATATATAAAATAACCGGGAAACCTATTATAATAAGTACTAGTTAGCTAAATACTACTTTAAAAAAGCCTAGGTAATACTATTAATAAGAAATATTAAACTTAAGGCAAGAAAGCTTAAGCTAAAATTTATAGGTCTATTTAGGATCCTTAAATATATTAGTAATTTAGTATATAAGTTAGAACTACTAAGTATATATAATTATTTATATCTAACTTTCTATATTTCTTTTCTTAAAAAATATATAATAAAAAAAAATTAGAAGTTATATTTATACTTTTCCGGAGAACTTCCGGAATTAGTAAATAATAATAAAGAATAAGAATAGGAAATAGAAACTATTATTAATTACTAATAAGATAATAAAAGCAAGAAGTAATAGTATTTAATTAAATAGAAAGCCTAGCCTAAAGATTATAATACCTAGTTATCTATTTTCCCTAATCTTAAAAATTCTAAGGAACTTCTAAAATTATATAATTAAAATTATAACTTAAAATCCGAAATTACTTTTTAATAATCTCTTAAGATTAAAAAGAATTCTGGATTACTAAGAAAAAGACTACTCAAAAAAAAAAAAGAACCTAGATAGCCAAGAAAAGGCCCGGAATAATAATAGAGATATTTTTTTCCTAGGGTTTTTTTATTTATAAAAGTTTTCTAGAATTTTATTAAGGCTTACGAGAATTATATTTAAATTATTAGAAAAAGATTTAGGATTAAGAAAGATTTATTATAAATAAACTAGCTACGGGTATCTTAAATAAATAAACTCTAATTCCTATAAATTCCCAATTCCTAAAGCAAGAATACTAAATACTAGCCCTATTTAGAACTTAGTAAAGAATTAGCTAATACTCTCCGGAATCCGCTTATCTCTTAATAAGATATAGTTATACTATAATAATATTAGTATTAAGGATATTAAGAGAAGTAAGTAAGGAACTTATAACTACTATATATATCTTATAGAAGGCCCGAACTTCTAAAGTCAAGTCCCAAATAGCTATAAGTATTATATTATTAGTATTTAAAGTACTAGTAATAGACTATTTAGTAATCTCGGTAATAATCTCGGTAATAAGATTAATGCCTTAAAAGTAAACTTTGCGGTATTTCTTTAAGAAATTAGTAAGTACCTAAATATATTAGAAAGAATTTATCTTTAGGATACTAACCCAAATAATATTATTCTCTGCCTTATTAAAACAGGAAAAAGAATTCCGAAGCTTATTAGTATCTTTCTAGTTTTTAAAAACCTAATTAATAGTATTATTTATATTAGTATAATACTATTTAGGATATTTTTTAAGAAATTTCTTAAAAATTATAATAATATTTTCCCAGAACTAGCAAGCCTCTAATAAGTAGCGAGGAATCTGAAATCACGTTAGTTTTAATAGATATTAAAGCTAAAGAACTTACTAATATATAAGACTTAGAACCCTTATTATAATAGTTATAATTCTTCTTGCCAGGTACTATAGTATATAAGATAAAGGAATTAATAAGTAAATACTTGAAATATTTCAAGCATTTGCTAGTAATAGGAAAGGAAGCTACGAGATCACTTTTATGCTTATTATTATATTAGCGAATAATAAAGCCAGAAGAAGATATTATGGAATTAATTAAAAATAATTAAAGAAGACTTGGAAAAGGGCAGAAAAAAAGGCTAGAAAGCAATAATAAAAGAAGTTATTATATATATAATTATTAGAAAGAAAGAGAGTATATAGTAATATAAAGAGGTCCTTTTATAGAGGTAAAGAGCTATCTGGATTAACTACTAGTTTTCGTGCTAGTTCTAATCGGAATTCAGTATAACCGATTAATATATGCTTCCAGAAGTCTGCAAATAATCTCCAGGATCTCAGAAATATTTATATGGGTTTCTTATACGAATATTTATTAAATTCTTTCTATATAGCTATTCAGATTATTCTAATACGAGATCTAATAGGTAGTATTAATTTCGTGGGATAATGCCTTAGTACTTTAGATCAAGCTAATTAAAATACTCAGACCCTAAACAAAATCGTAATTACTGGCTAGTCCCTATACCTGGGATATAATTACCCTTCCTTCTCGCTTACTTAGCCCTAATCTAATTAGACGATTTTTATATCTATTATCCAGATTATATTAGTAAAACCACCTCCCAAGATACTGGAAGTTTACCTTAATTAAATAACTAATTAATTAAATATTTACTAGAATAAATTAATAGATCTTGGGGACAAGATCCTAGGAGGGGGGTATAGTTATAATATATACAGGGTCGTACGTGACTTAAGGACATATAACGAACCTCGGATATTACGGGTATTAATTAGGGAGATTAGTAGCCCTTTAATATCCCAACTAACCACTATTTATATTATATATATTAGGCTTATGAATTACTAATTATATATATGCTATCGGGGCCTCCTATTTAGAGGGGATTTCCCTGGACCTTATAAAAGGAATAGAGATTAGTTCTATACTAAATTTAATACTATGGTTTCACAATATACTAATTCATTCTATTATCTTATTACCTATTAATAAACACCTTACACCCGAAATTATTATTAGTATATTACTTATAGTAATTTTATAAAAAGGAAAAGATATATAAAAAGCTTTTATATTTCCTTCTTTTTCTATTTCTTGTTTTATTTTATTAACTAACTATATTTAATAATCTAGCTTCTTTAATTATTATAATTCTAGAGAATATTACTAATATTAAAGCTATTCTCAAAATTAATAAAAAGATTAATAGTAAGCTTAATAGAGTTCTTATTTATTAATTAATAATTTAAGCTATTAAGTTAATATATAAAAGCATTTCTAAGATTTTTAGCTTATAGTTTAAAAGCTTGCAAATTTAGCTATTATAGTAATTATTAAGATTACTTTTTTTTAAGCTATTAATAAAGAGCTAATAAATACAAGAACCGGAAAAAGGTATTAAAAAAGATTAAAAACAAGATTATAGATATAAGAGTAATAAATATCGAATTAATAGAAAATATATTTGAAGTAAAGATAATTAAAAAAAAGAAATAGAGAAAAAGCTTATAAAAGAAAAGAAACTAAAGGTTTCATATAAATTATAAAAGGTATTTTATAATTATATTCTTAATAATTTTCGAAAATAGAGTCCTAATTTATTTTAAAAAGTTAATAATTTTTAATAATTTTATAGTTCGATTATTAAAGCTACTAAAGCTATTAAAAGCTTTAAAAATATTAAAAGCTAGTAAAATAAAAGCTTTTTCCAAAAGCTTTCTAATTATATATATATTTCTAGTAATTAATTTTTCTAATATTCCTTAATTACTAATAATACCTTAATTAATTATACTTTTTTCTTTTACCTAATTAATTATTCTTTTACTTTTAAAATAATAATCTCTTAAGAAAACTATAAAGCAAAGAATAAAGAAAATAAAGAAGCTAGTTAATAAAGTAATTAAGCCTCTAGAAATTATTATTAGTAAAGAAAAAAAAGTAAAAGAAGCTATTTTATAATAAGGTTCTTATAAAGGCTCTAGCTAATTAGAAAAAGATAAAAGATTTATTATATAATAGCGAATTTAATTAATATTTGAACTTTTATAATTAAAAAATCAGATAATACCTAAATTATAATTAAATATTTAAGTAATATAAGTAATTCTTTATTCTAAGAATTAGATATTTAAATTTAGGCTTATTACTTTACTAAATACAAGTTATTAATTCTTATTTCAAAGAAAATTTAATAAGAGATATTATTATAATAATATAAAAAACCTTTTAATATATTCTCTTATATTAAGCTATATATTACTAAAGAATTTAGAATATTATATAAGATATTCAATTAATTATATAGAAATTAGTAAAGAATAGAGATAATAGAATAAAAATTAGTAAAAAAATACTAAAAATATTACTAAATAAATAATTTTAGTAATACTATATAGTTTTAAAGTAATATATAGCTATTAGGGAATTGAGAATACTATAAAGTATTAGTTTTTGATAGGGATTAGAATTTTATTAAGGCGTTAATTAAATATTAAGATTTTAATTTTTGGGCGATTGAGTAGTTTGGGCAGTTGGCTAGTAAAACCTTCTAGGGCAGGATTTTAGGCAGTAAGTAGTCGAAAACCAAAAAACCAAAACACCCAAACCACTTGAAATTAGATATGCAACTATATTAAAGGTAAGCTAAGGCCCGTAATTACTATAGCTAGTATATAAAACTAGATAGTATACTAAGGTAAGATAATTATTATTGCTAGGAGCTGCCCCCAGGGAGCTGCCTGGGAGCCCCCCCCCCCCCCCCCCCCCGGGTGTCGATTAGGGGTGTCGATTACCAGGATCAGGGGTGTCGGTTGGGAGCAGGCTAGCCACTAACCTAAAGTAGAGGCGCTCGGACAGAAATACCAAAACTCTGGCTTTTTCTTTATTTTATTTTAATTCTATAATAAATTAATATATTTTAATACTTGTTTCATTTCCTTATAGTGCTAATTAAGAGCTATTTAAATATGAACTTTTTATAAAATTTGGATTAGTAATAGCTCTTTAAATTAAAGAAATGAAAAGTTTTATATTTTATAGCCTAAAGATAAGCTTAAGAAAGCCTAGAAATTTAGCGAGTAAGTCCCTAAAATTGGACCTGAGAGCCCTATAAGTACCTAATTTACAAGTTCTTATAAGGCCTAAAAATTAGAACTTAATTAATTAGTATATAAAGTTCTTTTAATTAAAATTCTATTTTAAAGAATTATTTTATTATAAACTAAGAAGCACCTAATTTTATTATAAGCCTTATATTATACTAGCTTATACTTAAATTTGAAAATCTAACTTAAGGTCCCAAAATACACTGCCCCCTAATCGACACCCCAATCGACACCCGGGGGGGTGTCGTTTTACACATTCCCACGAATTCCAGTCCTTGTTCGCCTAGAAGATCATCTAACATTGTGAGTTTGTGCGATGTGCTGCCATTTCCCTGTCACCAGGTCAGCCACCAGTTTGCTTCAGATGTAGTATTTTCAGGACTTACCACATGCCAGCAAGTAGCTGGACCAACGACGATGTTTGGGGTCGTCACACCGTGGGTTGAAAAGCTAATGAGAGACAGGAGGAATGTGGTGAATGTGAATCTTATTAAGCCGGGAGGATCTGGGTTGGTGATGTCGCTCTTAGGCGGTTTGTAGAGACCCGGTTGCAGGTACTTTGCGAAAGGGCCAAAGCGAGCACTCTCGCCCGTGTTGGCGTGAGCGAGGGGGTTTCCACCGTAGTCCCGGTGGGAGGAGCCTCCGGGTACGCCTTGGACGGGGCCCTTGCCATTGGGTGAGCAGGCATTGGGGTCATTTGGATAGGCGGCGAATGCGTTTCCGTTAGGATGTCCGGCCCTAATGACGCCGTTGATGGGGGGTGCTGCAACTGTTTCTGGGGTTTCGGCTACCATTGTGAAGAAGTGGGTATCAATGAGAAAATGGCATTCAAAAGTTGGAGGAAACCTGGGGGATGGGGAAATATACCGTAAGAGATGACATTTGGGTCCAAAATCGAACTATTTGGTCCCGAATGGCACTTCCTCTGACGATCATTGCTAGACTTCGGATGAAATGAAATGCGGCTCCCGGTTTATCTCACAAATGCGATGACAGTATGAACGGTTTCTGTGAAAGATTGATGTGAGAGGGTGGAGGTGTATAGCGCCTGGGACGGCGTAGAGATAGAGAAGAGCGTTCTCCACTCTTCTAACTTTGGGGTCTCCACACTGGAGTGCTCTCTCCCTTTGGCTTTTGGAAGCAGCGAATCTCGCGAGAAGCAGATGGTACGGAATCAGCCACCTAAGTAGTTAATTTCAAATTTCCGGGTATCCGAGTTCGGCATCCGAGACAGTCAGGAAAGGGAGTGGTGATGAAAGACTTAGTCATTTGGAAGATTGTCCTTGAAGACGTAGAAGGCTCTGGGAGACCGTTAAATAAATTTGAATGCCTTATTCAAGTCGAGTAACCAAAACTCGAGTTCTAAAAATTGGTTGCAGATTCTTGACAAGAGTTAAGAAGGTGAAAGAGATGAAGTCGATCTAAAGTTCCAGATCACGTGGCGACTAGCCCAATCCAGCTTTTAGCACTTCAAACTTGTTCACGACATCATCAACGTCCTTCAATCTCCATTGTACTCCGAGTTAAGACTAATAAAGCCTGTATAACTACTTGTTCCTCAAATCCGCCCAAACAGTCGTCTATAAAGAGGGCAGCATATCAACGACCAGCACATGCGCTGTCAATGTGGATGCCAACATTCTCTTCCCCGATGCGTCGACACCGCCGCGTCGTGGCTGCGATTCAACGACCACAATGGACCTCCCAAGGATCTTGGCTGATTTGTTAATCTAACATATGGCTCATATAACGACTACATCTGACGATGCGCGGGGCGAGAACCCGAAGTCGATATTGCTGTGCACTGCATCTGCAGAACGAGTGCCATTACACGACATGCCTCCCACGAAAATACGAACAACCGCAGAGCGGAACGGATATTTCACGAAACCTGCACGATAGTACCACGAGCAACCTTTACCGAATAAACATCTGCGGATAAGCAAGACAAAGTCGTTGGTGATGGCTCTTGGAGGCAGCATCATCGCGTAAGGACCCCACGACCAAGCCGTCATTGGTTCCCGCCGGAATTATCTACGATTTGTTCTCACCCTGGATAAGCGGTACGAGGTCTATTCCTCCAAATCAGTCCTCCATCGGGTCTCTTTCCAAGGCCGAGGCCTGCAGCACCAAGTCTTCCAAGCCAATCCGTGATAACAACTTACAAGCGCCGAGCCTTGCAGCGGCACGGAAGGCCTGCCATCTTGCGGTTGGGGAAAAATGAGTACTCGCATTTGATAGGCGGAAGCTGGGCCATGCTCAGCTGGTTGCAAGGCTTTGATTTAGCTCAGTGACCGAGTCTGGTTACGAAATCCGGTAAATCTGACCAACTATTTATGCATAGTGCGGGTGAGAATTTCGCAGGAACGGGTTTTACCTACAGGAGGAACTCCAGGGATTAGCAGTTTCGTTAGGAGGGTATAGCAGTATCAGATGCAAAGGCCAAGTTTGTCCTTACAAATCCTCGATTCCTACGCGGCTCCCACATGCTCTGGGCGACATCCTGCTGGATGCATGCTTCCAAATTCTAGATCTACTTTACCCCAGATAAATTGAAGAGCCTTGGCCTCTGCAAGGGTAGTGTTGCGGAGTGCCTTTTCTGGATCTGTGTAATCTACGATGGTCCGAAATGACTCCGGATCACGTGCATATTCCCTTCTCAGTTTCTGTGGTGCCAAGGCGCCTGGAGATTACGTTTCAAAACTGAGTCTCCTTTTGCCATGCGTAGTTTTGTTGTAATTGCAGTTTGTTATGTTGTTGAACTGGATGTTCTGGAACTTTGGCGTTTCAATGGCTGATTTCCTCGTCGCTCCTCGATGGACTGATATATAGCTCCTGCCCAACCACCAACTTTCACATTTACGACCATTGATTGCGACAATCGAGGGCAAGCTAAACCTCTTTCGTACCTATTTACCATTTTTTAATTATTTTTTTGCTTTTTAAACCAGTGTGAGGCCCTGGCGGACATGTGGTGGGGCAATAATTCGGACAGGTTGAGTAAACTCGCCACGATGACCACTGAATTTCGGAGTACCAGATTTACCACACCGTTTTAACTACCACGTTAATTGTCTCCAGCTGTCACACTTATTCTCCGTGGTTGGTTAATCCGGTCATTGGAATTGCATGTCACGTTTTCGGACCCTTGGCGGTACCTGCCTTGGGGATGTCCGCCGGACAAAGCAACATTCATTGGTTGCGACAATAACAATTTATTTTTGGTCGTGAACAGGGCGAAGCTGTATCGGAGTAGAGATTCGTGCCTAACTCGTGTGCTTTCTCATCATCCTTTGCTTTGTATTTTCGGGCGGGGGGAGGACGGCCTAGGAACCTCAGAATTCAATGTAGCTGCAGGTTTTGGGAGTAGCTCCCTTATCTCTCCTGCCGCCACAGCGGAAGTAGTACAATCCTTTGGCTTTCCCTGTCAAATGCAGATCTGAATTACTCCAATCTCAGCACCGAATGGTTGCCTCACCCTTGGTCGGAGTTGCGGCATGACTTTCCCAATGACACCTCACCGGACTCACTGCCCCTCGGGCATAGTTGCGAGGATTGGTTCTTGCTATGAATGGCTCGGTGGCCGACAATATGGACACGTAGAAACTCCCCTTGAGTAACAACAAGGGGGGTAAAGTACCATATCAGCCTACTTGGACCACGTTTTGCTGCCCCCGAATATTCCCCTTTCTAACTATTCCTCGCAAGGGTCCATGACTTGTAAGCAGTGCTAAATTACCACAGGCGACTGAGAATATTCGGATGTCTGATATAAGTCTGTGCCCCCTCCTTGGAAGAGCACACCAAGCCTGCTCTATCTTTTCAATCTTCGTTTTTGTGTGAAGACATGTCGGACAAGATGGCATTTCTCCTTTTTGGAGATCAGTCACTGGACGTTTATGCCTTCTTAGCAGACTTCTGTGGTGGTTCCAAGATTCCCAGTGTGCTGGCACGATCGTTTTTGGAGCAGGTTGGGGCTGCTCTTAGAAGGGAGGTGGATCAGTTGTCTTCTATTGAGCGTCAACGAGTCCCGAGATTTGCGAGCGTGAAAGAGTTGAACGAGAATTACCATGGCCATGAGGTCAAGAATTCAGCAGTGGACAGTGCACTTTTGTGCATTGCACAGTTAGCGCATTACATCGAGTAAGTTGCCATCCTCGGCTCAGAGAATGAGAGTAAAGAAATTTGCTAACTCTGGGCGCTCATAGCCGTGCTGAGAAGATGCACGAAGACTCAACAAGACCCTCAGAGACATGCCTCATTGGCTTATGCACTGGCTTATTTGCAGCAACTGCCATCGCCTCTTCGCCGTCGCTGTCTGGACTTGTGCCAATTGCTGTGCAAATGGTATTGATGGCATTTCGAACCGGCGCATATGTTACGGCCCTCGGAGACCGTCTCCACAAGCATTCTGAAGGGTCGTCGAGCTGGACTTATGTTTTACCCGGAATAAGTGAGGTTGCAGCCACTTCAATAATTAGCGACTTCCACAAGGTCAATGTAAGCACCTACGTCAAGAACATTCCTGGCACCTGATTAACGCATAACAGCGAATTCCATTGGCTAGCCACACATACATAAGTGCAATTACTTCAAACAGCATCGCAGTCAGCGGACCGCCTACCACGTTGAAGGCCCTTTTTGACTCTGGCACTTTTGACATCAAGCCCACACCCATTCCAGTCCATGGACCATATCATGCAGCGCATCTCCATTCGTGGTTCAACGCGGAGAAGATTCTCCGACTTAAAGATGCACAGGTGCAGAGAGTCCTAGGAAACCTTACCCCGAGATTTCCAATTATGTCTTGTACCACAGGAGCCTGGTACACCGAACAGACCTCACTTTCCTTGATTCAAGCTGTGCTACGTGATATCCTCACAGAGCCGCTACAATTCCACAAGGTAGTCCAAGGGTGTGTTCTGGCGGCTCAAAATTATCGGGGACCTCGGTGTCTGGTGATTGCATTTGGTAAGATTTCAAAGACCTATCGTGAGCAAACATCTGACAGAATCAGGCCCTTCCCAAGCTGCGAATAGCTTGGCAACTGTCCTCAAAGCGCAAACTAGCCTTGAAATCGATTTGCCACGATCACTTTCAGCAATTCCGGAGAATCCCGCACCAAGCAATGAGATCAACGGTACTGGACGTACCAAACTTGCTATTGTTGGCATGTCTGGTAGATTTCCTGACGCCGCGAGTCACGAGAAGTTATGGGAACTTCTGGAGCGAGGATTAGATGTCCACAGGGAGGTCCCAAAAGACCGTTTCGATGTACAAACACATTTTGATCCTACTGGGAAGACGAGGAATACAAGTCACACCCCGTATGGTTGCTGGATCGAGAACCCAGGCCTTTTCGACCCACGATTCTTCAACATGTCACCGCGAGAGGCCTTTCAGACAGATCCAATGCAAAGACTTTCTCTGTCAACTGCATACGAGGCACTGGAGATGGCTGGATACGTCCCCAATCGCACACGATCGACGAAGTTGGATCGTATCGGTACTTTCTATGGGCAGACATCCGATGACTGGCGCGAAATCAACGCGGCCCAAGATGTTGATACCTATTTCATCACCGGAGGTGTCCGAGCTTTCGGACCGGGAAGAATCAATTATCACTTCGGCTTTTCTGGACCATCTTTCAGCATTGATACTGCATGCTCATCTAGTGCGGCTGCCATTCAGTTGGCTTGCACTTCTCTGTGGGCAGGGGATTGTGACACGGCTGTTGTGGGGGGTGTGTCTTGTATGACCAACTCGGACATCTTTTCTGGACTCAGTCGTGGACAATTCCTCTCAAAGAACGGTCCTTGTGCTACTTTCGACAACGATGCAGACGGATACTGCCGAGCAGATGCTGTTGGCACTGTTATCATCAAGCGTCTAGATGATGCATTGGCTGATAATGATAATGTCTTGGCAGTGATTTTAGGATCGGCAACGAACCATTCAGCAGATGCCATCTCAATCACTCACCCCCATGGCGGAACTCAAGAAATCCTGTACAAGAGCATTCTTCGCCGAGCCGGCATTGACCCTCTGGACGTTGGTTACGTTGAAATGCACGGCACCGGCACCCAAGCCGGCGATGGAACTGAAATGAAATCCGTCACCAATGTATTCGCTCCAAGAGATCGCTTGAGGACCGCTGAACAGCCTTTATTTCTCGGTGCAGTCAAAGCAAATCTCGGACACGGTGAAGCTGCTTCCGGAATCACTGCTCTCATCAAGTGCTTGCTCATGCTCCAGAAGAACGCCATACCTCCTCACGTGGGTATCAAAAATACCATCAATAAGGGCTTTCCCAAGGACCTGTCTGAACGAAATGTACACATCGCTTTCCACAAGACACCCTTCCGGAAGAGGACTGTGGCACCTCGGAGAATTTTTGTCAACAATTTCAGTGCTGCTGGTGGCAATACTGGATTGCTTTTGGAGGAAGCTCCTCCCGAGAAGCGTGCATTGACCGATCCGCGGTCCGTGCATGTCGTGGCTATTACTGCAAAATCAAAGTCTGCGATGATGAGGAATGCTGAGCGGATCTTGGCCTATTTGGAACAGAATCCCAAAACAAGTGTCGCGGATTTGGCTTACACGACTACTGCTCGTCGTATACAGCACAATTGGAGAATGACTGTTACGGCATCTGACATTTCCGAAGTTCGATCTGGTCTCCAGTCTCGGTTGAATGAGGGTTTTATTCCAGTCCTTCCAGAACCACCAAAGATCGCCTTCCTCTTCACCGGCCAAGGTTCGCACTATCCTGCCATGGGCAAAGAATTGTACACCAACGCGAGTCTTTTCAAGGAGACAATCGACGAGTATGATCAGATTGCGAGAATTCATGGCTTTCCGACATTCCTTCCTCTAATTGACGGAAGTGCGCAAGACGTATCAAGCCTATCACCTGTCGTGGTTCAACTGGGGGTGGTGTGCTTTGAGATGGCAATGGCAAGGCTCTGGGACTCTTGGGGTATCAAACCAAGTGTTGTGCTCGGGCACAGCTTGGGAGAATATGCCGCCCTCAATGTGTCGGGCATTCTCTCCGTTAGCGACACAATTTACTTGGTGGGCGTACGAGCTCAGCTCCTTGTCGAGAGATGCGCCGCCGGTACTCATGTCATGGTTGCTATTCGAGGATCTCTTGATTCCGTCACAGAAACCCTCAGAGATCGACCTACACCAGTCAATATTGCTTGCATCAACGGCACACGCGAGACCGTGATCAGTGGCCAGTCCTCGGAAATGTCTGAGGTTTTCGATCTTCTATCCGAAGCCGGCTTCAAATGCACTCAGCTGAATGTACCCTACGCATTCCATTCTGCTCAGGTAGATCCGATCCTCGATCAATTCGAAAGACTGGCCGAATCAGTACACTTCGGAGAGGAGAAGATCCCGATCATCTCATCACTTTTGGGCAGACTTCTCAACGAGCCGGAAGTCATTGATCCTGTCTATCTTCGCAACCACGCACGCGATCCAGTCAACTTCCTGGGTGGATTGACTTCCGCCCAAGCTGCCGGTGTTGTAGATGAAAAGACTGTCTGGCTTGAGATTGGTCCTCATCCAGTTTGTCTGGGCATGGTGAAAGGCACCCTTGAAAATGCCCACATCACGGCATCAACACTGAGACGGAACGAAAGCGCATACAAGACTATCAGTAATTCCTTGTGCGCACTTCACACCGCCGGCGTCAACATGGATTGGAATGAGTACCATAGGGACTTCAGTGACTCTGTGCATCTCCTTGACTTGCCTAGTTACTCCTTTGATGACAAGAATTATTGGATCCAGTACGAGGGAGACTGGTGTTTGACAAAGGGCCAGCTTCCGACTGGTAAGCCCACGCCGCTTATCGAGAACGCCAAACCGAAGCTCTCCACAACCACTGTACACACTGTCACGAGCGAGATCATCGAAGGAGACGTCGCTATTGTATCCATAGAATCCGATCTGGCCAAGCCTGGACTTCGAGAAGTTGTTACGGGGCACGTCGTCAACGGGACCATGCTTTGCCCATCATCACTCTACGGAGACATGGCAGTCACGGTGTGTGATTACGCCTACAAGCTTGTTCGACCGGATGCAACAAATCTCGGTATTGATGTTGCAAACATGCAAGTTCCCAAGTCACTGCTTGCCAGGCCCGATGGAGCCAGCCAGATCCTCCGACTCACGGCTCGGGTAGACACCAAAGCTGGCAGCGGCCAATTAAGCTTTTCAACTGGATTGGACAAAGAAAAAGTTGAACACGCCACTTGTGACGTCTTCTTCGGTGACACCAAGGCGTACCTTTCTGAGTGGCAGCGAACTGCCTACCTCATTCAAGCTCGGGTCGACTGGCTCAAGGAAGCCGAACAGAATGGCAGGGCCCACAAAATCGGCCGTGGCTTGGCCTACAAGCTCTTCGCCAATTTGGTAGATTACAACGCACGATATCGTGGAATGCAAGAGGTGATTCTTCACAGTGAGAACCTAGAGGCTACTTCGAAAGTCGTTTTCCAAACTTCCAAAGATGATGGAACTTTCGTCTGTTGCCCTTACTGGATCGACAGCGTCGCCCATATTTCAGGCTTTATTATGAACGGGTCTGATGCCATCGACTCCAGGGAAAGTGTATACATATCTCATGGTTGGGGATCCATGAGATTCGCCGAACCGCTATCTGCGGAGAAGACATATCGATCATACGTCAAAATGCAGCCTACCGAACCAAACGTAGTTGCTGGCGATGTCTTCATTTTCGATGGTGATCGGATTGTGGCAAGTGTAGGTGGCTTGAAATTTCAGTGCATCCCACGCCGGGTGTTAAACATGGTCCTGCCTCCTGTTGGTGTAGCAAAGGCCGCCCTACCTGCAAACCCCAAGCCTGCCCGCCAGAGCGTGCCAGCTCCGAAGCCCTCGAAAAAGTCAAAGATGGACGCGACCTCGCAACTGAGCAAAGCCAACATTGCCACTGTCAACACAAAACTTCTCTCAGTATGCTCCCAAGTGCTCCAAATCTTGGTAGCAGAGGTCGGAGTTGGAATTGACGAGTTGGTTGACAACATCAGCTTCTCGGATCTTGGTGTCGACTCCCTCATGTCCTTGACGGTCAGTGGAAGGATCCGCGAGGAGCTGGAGATTGAAGTTCACTCGCACGATTTCAATGATCATCCGACCATCGGAGCTTTCAAGACTTTCCTTACCAAGTTTGAGACCTCGAAACCCATTCCAACCTTAGACTACAGCCCAACGGAATCTGACGATCATTCAACACCCGAACTTATGAACGACTCCAATGTGACAACACCTCCCGAAGACCCTGTCGTCTTCGGGGAAGAGACTGGGGAAAGCCTCGGTGAACTCATCAGAACCACAATTGCAGAGGAACTGGGCGTCGATACATGTGAGATCGCTGATACAGTCGACCTCACAACTTTGGGTCTGGACTCTCTCATGAATCTGACAATTCTTGGACGACTCCGAGAGAAAACCGATCTCACACTCCCTGGTGATCTGTTCGTGACCAGCCCAACAATTCGGGCTATCGAAAAGACGCTGTGCATCGGTGCACCGAAGAAGGCGCCACCACCTCCACCTGTTACGAAACCAAAGCAGCTCAAAGTCTCACCACTAACTCCAACTAGCGGCCCCGAGCGTCTTGCCACTTCAGTTTTGATTCAAGGGAACATGAGAAAGGCAACAAAATACCTCTGGCTGGTCCCCGACGGAGGTGGATCTGCAACTTCGTATGTTGAGATTCCCGAGCTGGCAGCTCACGTAGCAGTCCTTGGACTGAACTCGCCATACATGAAAGTCCCAGAAGAATTCAAATGCGGTGTCATTGGCATGGCAACCGCCTTCATTGTGGAAATGAAACGACGTCAACCAATCGGACCATACCTCCTGGCGGGTTGGAGTGCTGGGGGGGTCATCGCATTTGAGATTACCAACCAGCTCACGAAGAATGGCGAAGACGTCGAGGAACTCATTCTCATTGATTCGCCATGCCCAGACATCATCGAGCCTCTCCCATCTTCGCTACACAGATGGTTTGCTTCAATCGGACTCCTCGGGGGGCGAGGTGACGGCGCCCAGCCCGACGATTCGAAGATCCCACCATGGCTCCTACCTCACTTCGCTGCCTCAGTGAACGCATTGTCAAATTACAGTGCGGAGAAGATCGATCCAAAAAGGAGTCCGCACGTGACGGCAATCTGGTGTGAGGACGGTGTCTGCAAGCTACCTACAGATCCAAGACCAGATCCGTTCCCATACGGTCACGCCCAGTTCTTACTGGACAACCGGACTGATTTTGGCCCGAACATATGGGACAAGTATCTCAATTCTGATAGACTTATAACAAGGCACATGCCTGGGAATCACTTCACGATGATGAAAAAGCCATATGTAAGTGCCACTTTCTTGCACTCCCAGATCCAGACTGCTGACCATTTGTTCAGGTAAATATGTTGGGTGACTTAATTAGAGATGCGGTGCTAAAGATTAATTAATGTTTCAGACTTTGTTTGTTTTTGTTGGCATGCATTCTGTCCAAGCTCTCCTGTGGCGAATTGCTTTGATATAGTGCCGTGTAATTGTTTCTCTTCTCGCATGTTAGATGCAATGAAAAATCTATCACGATTCCCCATGGTGTAAACAACAGAAGAAGAATTATGTGACGTGGAAAGCTGCGCGGGGATGACCCGTGGAAGTCATTATCCAATCCACCGGTTGCCAGGGTAACACAAGTCTGGCCGCTTCTTCCGATCTGCCAAGATAAATTGAGATAGTTTCTTCTCCATATTCCTGCATCTAGGCTGTTACCAAGGGGTCTCGGGAGTTGGTAGATCGTTAGACTATCCGGAGGGAGGATAAATTCCTCGAACCCCACTTACCCGCCGTAACTTTACCCATCTTGGCAATGGCGAGGCGCTTTTACAATTACCCCTTAGCCACGCAATCGTCAGATAGATTCAGTACCTTTGTGATGGCCGCTTAGTAACAGGGCCTTCGTTCAGGGGCTGCACGAGGGTACACAACCCGCGGCACCTGGGGCATCATCCCAGTCCCCCTAAAGAAGGGTCCAGGCTCGGCAAAAATACCTAAATTTCCGGTATCGATTCTTACGATACCTGAAAAATACCTAATACTATCGATACTGGTATCGATGCCTCAGGTATTTTGCCGAGCCTGCTACGGAGGACGCGGCCAAAAGTCTTGCAACTGTCAGGGTTTGACGCCACACTCGCTTAAATTGTAAGGGCGTTGCACGGCAACCAGAGGCCGCCATAATTACAGGGCCTTGTAGGCTTGTCATGCTTAAATAACAGCACTCAGGCCCTGTAAACATTACTAATAGCGAGGTTCCTTCAGGTAACTGAGGCCCTAAGAACCGTTGCTATGCCAGAGCTATGTGGCGTCCAGTGTGTCAAATGAGTAGAGTAGAGTAGGGTAGTGGGTCCTACTCATACTCTACTCAACCAATTAGAGCGCTACTCATACTCTACTCATATTCTACTCAAGTTACTCATGAGTAGTATGAGTAGTATGAGTAGTATTCACGTGATAGATACACGTGACGGGCTAGCCTAATTAGGTAAGCTTCTTGCCTGCTTCTACTTTAGCGCCACCTCGCCACCCAATTAGGCGGTAGTATTACTTAGTAAGCGAGCCAAAGGCTAGGAACAAATCAAGATTCTGAGAAAAGTAACTAGTTTATTATTATAGAAAATTAGTATTTGGCTAGTCTTACTATCCCCCCCCCTTGAATACTTATAGTGGGTCCTGAGATAATACCACTCCTGTACTAACTAACTCAAGGGTATATGGCCAATAGCAATTCTAGAGAGCACCTGATATTTCCTAGTTGGGGGTTATAAACGAGGTTTCAGGGTGGCGTTACTAAAGGACCCACTATAAGTATTTAAGGGGGGGATAGTATATAAGCCTGTGAGATACGTAATAGCAGGGTAATGTACAAGTAGTCAAGGTAAGTAAGCTGCAGAGTGACGCTTGCAAGTGTAACTAATTCCAAGAATTAATTCTAACAAAAGACTAATTAATGCCCTTTTCCAAAGCTAGGAGCGTCTCCCTATATGTTCCCCAGTACTTAGCCAAGCCTGCGAAGTACTTTACTTAACTAGGAAACATAATTCTATGCGATCTATATGATTCCCCTGAAACTTTCCCGGCTATTAGTTCTTCCTAAGAACTCCCTATAATTATCCTATTATTATGCCAGGTAATAGAATTAAGAATATAGTTTACTAACCCTACCCGGTTAACTTGCAAATTACCTCTGGCGATTTCCTCTTGCAAGGGTAATACGGGTATGATATATACTATTAGATATAAAGCTCTTCTAGTCTTCTAATTAGTTCGTAAATCCTAACTTAGCCTCTATTCGCAAATAGATTATTACTCTATAAGTTTAAGAGCTTGGAAAAGTTAATCCGATCTTCTAGTTTATTCATAAATTCCTTTTTTGGAATTTTCTAGGTATTCCTAATATAAAGCCAGTTCCGAATTCGCAATTACTATTCGGGAAAAAGATATTATAAAAAGGCCTCTCTTTTTCTACTAACTAACCTTCTCTTTTCTTAACTATAATACTATATCTAGCTTCTCCTTATCCCTTGCTTTCTTTCTTTAAGCCTTTTTTAAGCTTTATTTAAGCTTTATTTAAGTTCCCTTCTAATTTCCTCTTCTACTTTTTTATTTATTAGGATAAATACTTCTCTTAGTACTTATTAGCCTATTATTACCTATTTAGCTAATATTCTCATATCCTTAATTCGCTCTTACTATCTTTAATATTTCAAGAATATTACTAAGTTTCCTGACCTTACTTATATTAAGAGTAATAATTACTTAATATATAATTACTACTACTTCAAGAATAAGAAATATAATTCTATAAGTTATAAATTCCTTCTTTTATTCCCTATTCTAATACTATTTAAGGTTTCTTAAATATATATAATATAATTAAACCGCCTTCTTTAAGCTATTAATATATATAAGCGTCTTTCCTAGCCTTTACCCAAAAGAAAGAAGGCTATTACTACTTTTCTTTTATATTAAACTATATATACTTCTTATATTAAAGCTATTATTTGAGGCTAACGAATTCCCTTAATAATCTAAGAAATAGGTTAAGTAATTCTTACTAGCTTAGTATAAATATAAAGTACTTTTAATAATATAATTAATATTCTTTAGTATTAAATAAGCTTATTTCTTTCTTATTTCTTACTAATAGCTAATAGCTTTATAGGCTAATTTACTATTTATTTCTCGAGAGAATTCTAATAAGAATAATAATAAGAATAATAAAGAGTAATTATAAGAATAGGATATTTATAAGATATAGAAATTAGAGTTTTTAAAGTTCTTAATAATTTTTATATAATTTTTCCAGGAATAAATATATAATTTTTAATAGTTTCCTAATAAAAGTATTTATCTTTTATATTTCTATTTAGCTAATAGTATTATAATATTATTCTTTTCCAAGTATTCTTATAATTCTTAAGCTATATTCTCTAGATTACTTAGTAGTTCTTATATATTATTTACTAGTAAGTAGCCCTTCTAATAAATAAGATTCTTTTTTTCTTTTTTGCCTTTTTTATAAACTATAATAAATTCTATTTTAAATTCTTCTTTATTCTTAATCTCGACTAGTTCTAGTTCTACTATAGTACTAGCTTGCGAGTACTATTATTCTAAGAGAAAAATGTAAAAAATATTATAAATCTAATATAATAGTAATAATTTCAAGTAATATATCTATTTATATATTCTTATAACTTCTAGAACTTTAAAGAAGCTAAGATATCTATTTACTAGCTTTATACTAGGTTATAGCTATTAAATATTCTTTATATAAAGTATGACTTTATTATATATATTAAATTCCTTATTAATATATTTCTTATTATAATACTTTTTCTATATATTTATTACTTCTTACTATTATTTCTCTAGTATCTTTTATTTTACTTAAATCCTTTATATTCTTTCTTATATTACTAGTATTTCTTTTTCTAGAATATTATTCTTAATATATAATTTAATACTAGAATAGAATTTATATAATATATAAAATAAAGAAATTTCTATTATTAAATATATAAAGTTATTATATATGAATTCTGCGAGAATAAGCTTTATTACCTAGTTATTTTACTAGTAGCTAGTATAGTACCTCAAGTACTATTCCAGAGTTTGGTTTAGATTCTTTATTTATCTATTAGTTTATAAGTAAAATACTATATTTAGCTATTATTAAATCTTTAAGTAAAAGTATAAACTTAACTAGAACTTACTTATAAAAACAGATTCTTTATTAGAAATTATATTTATAAATATACTAAAGTCTTTAATAATATAATATATAAATAGCTCTACTAATTCAGGAACCGAGATTTCCTTAGTAATTAGAATATATTATACTATTTTCATATATCTATTAATAATAATAAGTATAGAATTATATACTTTATTATAAAACCTAAAAAGAAGTAGCCCCGTAATAAAGTTTATAGTAATTTCTTATTATAGCTTAGAGAAAAAGAGAAATAAACTAAGTATACTATATAGTAGATATCTCTTTATCTTAATTTATTAATATATAGAATAAGTTCTAATATAGTTTTTTATATTCTTTTTTATATTTTACTAGAAGTACTTTCTCTAGAGAATCTCTAGTATCTTACTAGTACTAAAATACCTATCCGTGAAATTATTATAGTTAGCTTATAGTAATTCTTCTTTAAGAGCCGGCTTATTTAGTATATAAATAATATTCTAATATTTTAATAACCCAGATATATTAAGTTCCTAAATCTTAATAGCTCTAATAAAGATCTTTTTTAAGAACTATTTATACTACTAGTATTATACTAATAAATTAAGCTTTTAGTATTATAATAGTAGTTTAAATAATATCTCTTTACTTTTCTTATATACTATTTTAGACCTAGCTATTTATATAGCTAGAATCCGTAATATATACTATTTATAACTAGCTATACTAGTAATAAGCTCAAATAGTAATATCTCTAATACTATTCCGTTACTAAAATAAACTTCCTTTTCGGAATTCCTTAGTATTTTACTAATTAAGAAATATTTATCTCCTTTCTCTTAGGCCTTAAATTACGGTATTATAAGAATAATATAGTATTCTATTACTACTACTTATAAGGATTTCTATTCTATATTCTATAGCTTATTATAAAGTATAAATAATAAAGTATCTTTATTTATATTTATTATAAAGTCTGGCTTTCTTAATAGCCTATTAGTAGGGTTATTATACCCTGGCTAGTATTCTAAGATAAAGTTAAAGATAGCTAGTTTCTTTACTTATCTTATCTATTAACTATTTAGTTTTCTTTTAATTATAAAGTATTTCAAGTTATTATAATCTATTTTAATAATAATAATATACTAGATATATACTAGATAATATTACTAAGTATAAAATATTAGAATAATAATTAAGAGCTTAGAATTATATATCTTATATTTACTCTTAATTATAATTATTTTCTTTAAATAAAAGATAATAGGATATTACCTGGCTTCTATTCTTTTATTAAAGAACTAGGAAATCATATCTATAATTACAAATCCTAAAGTATTTATTTCTATATAAATCTTTAAAGCTAGATTAAAATAATAAAGAATTAGTACTATTATAAATATAATTTATAGCTTTTTAAAAGCCTTATTTGCTTTATTTATCTAGCTAAAATAATATTATAGGTTTTTACTAGTTTTTAATAAATTAGTTAACTATTTTACTATTCTAAAATATTTATAAATAAATCTCTAATAGAAGTTAGTAAAATCTAGAAATATTTAAACTTCTTAGATATTATTTTTTAGGGCCGGCTATTTCCTAATAACTATAACCCGGCTAGCTTTTATTTCTATATTATCTGGGCTAATTATAAATTTCAGGAACTTTATTTTCTTTATATTAAACTCGCATTTTACTAAGTTTATAAAAAGCTAGTATTATTATAATTATTTGAGTATATATTAGACTACTATTATATATTATTCTAGGTTCTCTAAATAAATTAAAATATTATCTAGATAAATTATATAAATAATATTTATAAGGCCTACTAGTATATAATTAATATATATCTAGAATATTACTAGAATATTAAATAATTTAAAAAGTATAATATAATATTTAAAATATTTATAATATATTTGGAATATTATCTTTTATTTATTACCTTCCCGTATTTATAACTAATAATAAGTATTTTTTAAGTTTAGCTTTATATATATCTTTATTTTATAAAGCCTATTTATTATCTTACTAATAAGTAATAATAATATTCGGTTCTTAATAATAATTCTATTTAGATTCTAGTAATTAATATATAAATATAGGTTACCTTTTTTCTTTAGAACAAATATAATTAGGGTACTAGTTAGGCTAGTAAAATAATAGATTTATTTCTTCTCTAAGCTAATATTAAGATATTTCTAAAGAACTTTAAGCTTTCTTTCTAATAAAGTATATATAAAACTATATAGTAATTAGGACCCTGGTTCCAGATTTATATAATATTCTATTATATAATAATTAGGTAATATATTTATAGCTTTTATAAAAAATTCTCGGAAAAGGTTCTAATATTTCTTGAGAAATATATTTATTCCGTTTATAATAATAATAATAACTTTTTAGCTATCTATTATAAAATAAGTAATTAATAGAAAAATATATATCTTATACTTTATTATTTTAGTAAACTTTCTAGTATTTAGAACCTTAATTTTCTGGAATTAAATCTAGTATCTTTATATTATTTCCCTAAAGAAAATTAGGGAATTAATCTAATAAAGCTATAGGAATTCAAGTATTATATTAATATAATTTAGATTAAAATCATATAATATAAAGTATATATTAGCCTCTTTTTAGTTCCCTAGTATATTCTTGGTAATAATTCTAAAAATATAATCTTTATATAAATAGATTTTTCTTTCTTTTAGTAAGAATAAGAGAGTTATTCTTAATATTAATAAAATATTTATATTTAAAGCTAATTTTTTTCTTTATATAATTAGCCTTTATACCCGAGTTTACTAATATTTTAATTCTTTACTTATTTTTCCTTATTTTAATAGTAATCTTAATTATTATTCTTATTTTAGGAGCCTTGCCCTCTATAATATAAATAAGTATAACTATTATAAGGCATATTTATTTCCTGGCTTTTTTAGTTCTAGGTATTTATATATTTTATAGCCAGACTTATTATAGTTATAGTAAGTCAGTTTCCCTTAATTAGGGCAAGTAATAGTATAGTAATTCTCTTTCTAGTAAATAAAGTAAATTATATCCGGTTTTATAAATCCTAATACGGGTATTATATTAGATCCTATTATTATATCTTTACTATTCCGGTTTTATAAACCTTATAATAGAAATATATTTCTCTTTTATTTCTTTTTATTATTTCTCTTTTCTTTTCTTTTATTCTTTTTCTTTTACTATTTTATTAGCTTATTATTATATTTCTATTAAGTAAATAGATTCAAATTATTCTTAATTCTTATAATTATAGAAATAAGCTTCTTTCTTTCTTATAAAGTATTTCTTTAATAATTAGTCTTATTTTAAATCTCCTGCCTTAAGCTACTAAATAAATTATTCTATTCTTATAATAAACTTATATATCTCAAGTTATCTAATAAGCTATTTAAATAAGATATAAAGCTTTAAATACTCTGGCCTAGCTATTATTTAGTATTCTTAAACTTAATAAGAATATTATTACTATAGTTCTCTAGATTCAAGATAGAATTCTTTATAAATTTAATAAAGATTTCCTAATTTATAATATTAATATCTATTAATTATTCCCTATATTTCTAGATATTCCTGGCTATATTCTTAAAACAAGAAATATAATACGTAATCTTTACTATATTAGTAGCCTAGATAATCCTGCTATCTTTATACTACTTTAACTCTGCCTAATAAAAGAAGTTCTGGGCTTCTTTAATACTCTTTTCCCGGTAAATAGGTAGTTCTCGGGTTTTTAGAGCCTTCTAAACCAAGAGTACCGCCGGAAATATAATAGATTCCATATTAGATATTTAAATATTTTTAAGATAATAGATCTAAGCTTCTAGTTCCTCTAGATCTTCTCTCTATTATATCTCTATTTCTAACTTAGTAATATAATAGTAAGCTACTACTAATTTCTCTGTTATTATTATCTTATCTGCTAGTTCTAGGAATATCTGAGTTCTATTTCCTTCTCCTAATTAGGTAATATAAAGAATACTTGACTAGGCGCTCCCCTAAATACCCGGTTAGGTTACCCTAGTAGTAATAGAGGCGTTTCTTCTAGTTAATACTTTAGCTATTAATATTTTTATATATTAATAGCTTAACTACCTCGTAATAAACTACTTTCCTAAGGTTAGATTAATTAGAATATAAGACATATAATAGCAGGGTAATGTGATGTGTGCAGGGTCGCACGTGACTTAAGGGCATGTGACGAACCTCGGATATCGCAGGTGTCGATCAGGGAGTTCGGCAGCCCTTCGATATCCCAACCAACCACTGTTTACATCATATGCATTAGGCTTATAAATCACTAATTGTATGTATGCCATCGGGGCCTCCTATTTAGAGGGGGCTTCCCTGGACCTCACAGGAGGGACAGAGATTAGTTCTGTACTGAATTTAACACTGTGGTTTCACAACACACTGATTCATTCTATTGTCTTATTGCCTACCAACAAACACCTCACAGGTAATATATAAGTAGTTAAGATAAGTAAGCTATAAAGTAATACTTGTAAGTATAACTAATTCCAAGAATTAATTCTAATAAAAAACTAATTAATACCCCTTTCCAAAGCTAGAAGTATCTCCCTATATATTCCCTAGTACTTAGCCAAGCCTATAAAGCACTTTACTTAACTAGGAAACATAATCCCATATAATCTATATGATTCCGATTATAAGCTTTACCCAAAATAGGAAACTAGATCTACGATATCTAATACCTGTCCATGTATTATTATATATACCTATTATAAAGCCCTATTCTACTTTTACTAGGGCTACTTAATAAATACCTTTATTATTTAATTATTATTAAGTAGACCCGGATTTATTCCAGTCAAGTAATAATTACTTATAACTACTTATACTACTTATACTACTTATACTACTTATACTACTTATACTACTTATACTACTTATACTACTTATACTACTTATACTACTTATACTACTTATACTACTTATGAGTATATACTCTACTTTACTCAAATTTTTAGGGCATTATACTACTTATAAATATTATAATAAGGATATAAAACAAGTAGTAATATATAGAGGACAATGGGCTTTCATAGCATGGGATCACAGCATATAAGTGAGACGTGAAATTAAGGAGTGAAGGTTGGTTGATATCTAAACTGAGAGGGAAAGAGGGGTAATATATAAGCGGGTTGCGGACTGCGGACGTCCGGAGGTCACATGACCGCGCCACGTGACCAATAGGGGTAAAATCCCCACCACAATATTCATGAGTAGTATGAGTAGCATGAGTAGTTCTTTGACACACTGGTGGCGTCCTTAGGCTTGGCGCCCACCCCTGCCAGTTGCAAGACTTATGGCCGCGTCCTCCGTACCTTCTTCGGTAAAAAGGGATGAGATTGAAAAGCAAGCGCAGATGGCAGAGGATTTGTGTCGCCAATGTACAAAAGTGGAACTCAAGATTTCCATACGGGAAATGATGAATGATTTGACGAAGATATGCAGCAGTTAGCTGAGAGCTGAGAAAGTGAGACTAGTGGTGATGGTCCGTAAAATGGTGTCTAGATAAGAAGAACTTTACGAAGAGGAGAAATCCGAGAAAGCGCGGAGAGCAACGAATGAAAGAGTCAAGGAAAGAGGAGGAACTTGAAAAGCGCAAAGAGATTGAGAAGAGGTGTTTCAATGCCCCCCTCCCCCAAAAAAGCAAATGTTTACAAAATACAGAGCATAGCGAGGAAATATGGAAAAAGTCGAGGATGACTCTATTCCGCTAAGAAGTGATGAACTCCATCTATAGATTCTTTCTATTGCTTTCATACTCTCTTTCATATGCTCTTTCATACGGCTTCCCTTTGCATATCCCAAGTCGTATACGGTTCATAATCTCCGAACTCCTTCAGATCAATCGACACCACTCCCATCATCTTGAACCCGAATTTCTCATACAAGGATTTCCCAATCCTTGACGCACGCACGCAACACTTTGCGTGATCGGCATCGACACTCTCGAGAAATTTATTGACCAACGTTGATCCAACGCCTTTGCGCTGCCAGTTTGGATGAACCGCAAAACCCTCCAGTTCTATAATCACTATTAGTATCTTTCCCAAACGAACCCCCTGTAAAACACAAATCGTTCAGGATAGATACGTACCCCAATAACCTTTCAGATTGTATTGTTTCTTAGCTGCCTTTACCTCCCCAAAGACTTTGTCAAAAAAATTCAAATTCGTTCCATTAGGAAAAGTAGGATTCCATTCCCCCGGCTCTCCTTCCCCAAGGGGTTTTCGATATATCAGATAGCCAACAATTTCATCTCCAGCCGTCGCAACAAGGAAGGTGTATTCGGGATTGCGACTGTGGTAGAGATATTCGTAACGGTCCAAGATGAAAGCTTCACAAGCCCCAACACCTGCAGTTTTCCATGGGATGATGTAAAATGGATGAGTAGCGTTAGCTGCTAAATCCATTTTGTGCATAGCTAGGAAATCCTTTTTGAGAGCGGTTCGGATTCTTATAGACATAGTGGCTAGCGAATCTTCTTGCTTTTCTTTGTGAATGAAAGGATAGAATCCGAGGTGAATAGTAGTCTGCAAATATCATGTGCAGCACCAGTTGCGCTAAGATATTCTGCGAGGAGATGGAGGATAAGAGCAAGTGGTAGGAGGTAGGAGGGGATGCGGTTCTTATACCCCGCCAAAGCGGCGGTGGGCTCGTGCGCGCGCCTTACCTAATAGGGGAGGGAAAATGGGGGTGGGCATTTACCCAATTCCCCTTTTCACACACATTAAGAGATAGCTTTTATTAACAGATTGGCTAGGTGCCGGCTCCCCGGGAGCCAGTCTCCACAAGGCACGGCTTGACTAGCTGGCTAAGGTTCGGAAGAAGGATCTCTATAAGGGAGCCTGGATCTACTCAAGGACCCCAATAAGGGTGAGAGCTTATTGTGAGCTGTCTATAGATCTAATATACATGTGGGGTTTTATTAATAATAAACAAACGAAAAAAACAAGAGATAGTAGGAAGGGAAACGAGTGTGAGAAGCTTGAGTTACTTACATGAGAAAGAGGGGGAAGCCCCAGTCTTATAACTCTCCTCGGCATAGACCTTGCTCTGGTGAGGTCCAGATAAGGAAGTCCGAGGGAGGATTGCCATTTCCTCCGGTTCGCCTCCAGCCGTACTTACGGCCAGTGCGTATTCGGCCGAGTTGGTTTCTTAAGTACTCTCCCTCCCACTAATTACTTGTAATTGTGGACCCTCTTGACCGAGGTGATTTGTATGGTAGAATGTCTGTGGTCTGTGTACCCACTATTGCAAGTAATTAGGGGGGGGAGTACCTTCAGGGTTTGCGCTCCCACGGTCAGCTTTGCATGATTCTAGAAGGGTTATTAACTACTCTTGTACTCTTCCCCGGTTCTTTCTCGGGTCTTGGTGCGAGGCCCATGAACGGCGTAGCCGCGTAGCACTTACGAGCCAATAAATGCCCCTCTGTTCTATTTGCACCTTGGTGGGCCCGCGATTGACGGGCAATGGCGTAGGGATGTGAGATTTGCAATTATTTAAGTTATATAATAATCAAGTCCTCAATTACGTACTGTATAAATGACTGCATAAATCATGTATAATTCATGTATACATCGTCACGTGGAGGGGGAAATTTCATGGATTTGAAATGTTTCTTTTCTGCGAAGCTTTTGAAGTGGTCAGCAAGCGTTTCGGCGGAGGGATTAAGGTAATTAGACTGAATTGGGTATGCAGTTGGTGGTGCTGCAATATAAAGCTGGAAGGTTTGCTTGTTGGGTGATTAAATTATATTACTAAAGTATTACGAAATCAAGTCCTCGATATGTAATTTTCACATCCCTACAATGGCGACAGGCCGCCAAACAATACAGTCGGTCCGATCCAAAAGCGACAAAACGGTCGCCCTTTTATATCCATAATAACCTTTTAATTACAACCCCGAGTAATTAATACTAAGTAATGCAATTACAGAAAAGAACCAAGCGAATAAAACCTATTAATCAGATTTTTAATGCGATTTGTGGTTAATTAGTAATCGAGTTTTGAAGTGCACGGACGTTTCTTACTTTTTTGATTTCTGACCATGCAAAACGCCAAAATATTTCACGAAAGTCACGTGTACCTAAGTAAATAATAAATTTAACTTAGACTTATAAGGTCTTATAAGGCTCCTTAAGCTTCTATAAGCTTAGTATATCTAGTAAGAGCTTAAATTTTAAGAGTCACTACTAAAGAGAATATAAAGTATAAAAAGTTTATGATTTTAATCACGTGCAGCCTCGTATACTATACGAGATATGATTTTTTACTCTTACAAAACGCCAAAATTTCTATGCGCGCTCGTATAAAATGGTCACGTGCTTTGTAACTTCTGTAATATTAAAGGTATTAAAAATCGGAGACTAAGGAAATAATTACTATAAGATATACGATAGTTCCGATTAATATGATTTATATCAATTAGTATTTTGGTAGACTTTTTTTTTGTCGCTTTTGGATCGGATCGACTGTAGCCCAGCCGATATGCAGGTTGCATGAGACATTATTGGCCTGGGGGTGGGACGGGCACGGCTGCTTCTCGATTGAGGATGAGAAATCCGTGAAACTCCCGTTCAATTTGTATGGGAGGTACTTCAAGCTGGCTGCGCTAGAACTAGCTGGTCCGTGCCATAGGATTGAGCGAGGAACACCAATTTCGTTGGTGGCCAAATCGCTTTCACGAACCAGCGTGGTACTGTACACTGTGGAGGGTATGAACGGGTACCGAGCCCCGAGATTGTCGTCAGTACGCCTCTGCAGCCATTGATCTGCGTGCTCTTATAGACCACCCATCCCTTGCTTTCCCGGGCAGGTACCGTACTTGCACCATTCGAATCCGAGTCCGTTTCCAGATCCCACGTTTCACAATAGAACTACAGAATGCGTTTCTTCTGCTCGACCTGTGCGATACTCGCTGTTGCTCTTGGCGTAACCGCTGTCAGCACATTGAGGGAGCCGACCCCCTTACCTGATCCGACCGAGCGCTCAGCCTCACCTCTCCCTGGTGCGGCAGTGATACCTTTCTTCGACGTTCCAACTCTTTTCGCCAATGCGCCATACGCTGCCAATCCTACTATTATAGAAGCCATTCGCGCCACGCTCGCACTCTACCCGCTGGCAATCGACGGTAAGAACTTCAATGCTCTCGGTCAGCTTTTCGCCTCCAACGCTGTCGCAAACTACTCCGAGCCTTTGAACATTCTTACGTCACTATCAACCATTCAGTCCGTATTGCAGTCGAGCCTCGCAGCCGTGACAACACAGCATGCGTTTGCAACGCAACTCATCGATGTCCTGTCTCCTACTTCGGCATTCTCGGTGACATACTACACGGCGACGCATTTTGGGAGGGGACCATTCCTTGGGCTCACGGTGACGGCTTATGGACAGTATCAGGATGTGTGGGCAAAGCAGAGTGATGCGTCTTGGAAAATCACTCATAGGAACTTGGTCTACATGGTGAGCTCAGCAGTTCCCCATGAATCGGGCATTGTCACTAATCACTCACTAGGGACCACTCATCGGCAACCTCACAATATTCACCTTCACTGAATAGAAGCACCGTGTTGATATTTAGAAATTGAGTTATTGTAATCAGTTAGCCCAGGCCTCGCGAGCCTAGTAGATACATAATTTTAGTAATACTTAAAACCACTTTCTCTAGCGACCTCTTCCTCTCTTATCCTGAAGGACTACGATTTCTTCTTCCTTTATTATCTTATTACTGCCCCTTGTATATAAATGAATAACCAAATAAGATGCTTCCAACGGCCCTAGTAAGGTACTTCTACCCGACTATGATTCAGCTCAAGAATCGAGATAAAGGAGGCGAAATCATTTGATTTTCAATTAACAAGCGTGCTCCACTCAGATTCTCGTTCTACGTCCCCACTTTCAACCTCACTTACCACTCGACATCTACCACTACCTCTAGTATAGACACTTCTCCTCGGGGCTCCAACTCGAAATTATGACCCACGTCCAACCTCTAACTGTAAAACCATTCCGGCTCTCGTCAAAATTCACCCAGGTGCAGCAACAGGGGCGCTATTCTCCTGCCTGTTAAACTCTCCGTCCAACACTAACAACCTCGCTGTATCTCAGTATGAGCTCAACATTAAAACCAAAGGGACACAGAAAGGGCTTTTCTGTATAACACAAAAACAGGCAATTGGGAACAAGTGGAAATTTCAACCCAAGAGAGCCACTCTTACCCTGAACCCGTATCTTGGAGTCGAGATCAACCATTGCACTGGGAGCGCCTGATGAGTGCGACTACGGGATTAGGTAGCAAATCTCGGTTGCGACATTTCGGAGATGACTGGAATCATGTGGGAAATTTCAATGCAGCGTTCTTGAACCAAAAACATGAACGTTCGATGCCGTTGGACTTGCGCTTGAATTTCTGATTCGCCGTTATCGTCTAAGAGTCTCGACTTGGATACATAGTGCCGCAGCACCGAGACCTACTTGCGGTTCATATAGAATTATGCCAGTTGAATCTTTCTTTGAGGCCGGAATTTGGAAAGAAACTCATAGGGAAGATTACATACGAGCTCCCTCACTCCAAAATTTCACTTGCATGTACCACTTTAGTATTCACCTGGCGCTTGTATTTTTCAAAATTCATGTCAACGATCTGTAACCTCAGCCCGAAAATGTGCATTTTATACTGCTTAGTTGAATCAAAGCATCATCCAGACAGTGACAAAATAGGTTAACAGCATCTAATAAACAGGTAAAGCCTACGCTGGTCTGATCTGTAGGGTGTAGTGTGCCAAAGGCGTAAAAGAGCTGTTCAAAGTAGGCAAAATCCCACCAAAATCGCAGTTCCTTGCCAGAGAAAATTCAGGGGTCGCCAGGAAGGCATAAGGTGCAGCTAGGGGCAAATTTAGGCCTGACGGCAGGGATTACACGCTTAAAGAAGGGTCTTGCAGGGCCGCAAACGTGACTTTAGGCCTGCCAGACTTGGATCCGTTCGGTCAAATATAGCCGTATATGAACCTGAGGTTCAATCTTCTAGGCGGAGGTCAAGCTCCGTAAAAATGACCTTCGGATGACAAATTCGATGCTCCACCAGACGTGTTATCAACCGGACGATGCATTACGCGGCGCTCAAATGAGATGAGGTTGAGGAAAGGTAGCAAACAAAAGTTAATACACGCAGCCAAAACAAAAGACGCGAGTTCTTTGTGGGAGCCGGTGCTGTGTTTACCGCGTCTTGCACGTCTCTCGAAGTATCGGACTGAAATTATACTTCACGGAGAGCCAACACATTGCAACCCTGCGAACTTCTACGCCACCCACTATCTAGCCCGGCTCTGATTGCTTGCTTGCAATGATGTGGGACTCAAGTGTTGTCCCGCATTGTCGCAGATAATCAACTATCTTCAACTGCCTTTCTTTCAAGTGAAGGATTTCGGTGCAGCATGCCATGACCATTTCTCAGGCAACTTTGATTGGCATTCCTCCCACCGCAGCTGTCACAAGATACACCCCAATCCGTAGAGAAAGTCCCTCGACAAATGCCAAACTTTTTGAATGGAAGAGGCCGACAGAGTATGGGTTTTTGCATCACTGAGAGAGTCGTATAAACCCACCCTTTGATGACCAAAGTAAGCAATTCGGGGGGTCATCGCGGGCTATGCCTCTCTCCGTAAGACTCGGACCGCAAAATCTTTGAAGTGGGCAAAAAGCTGCCCATATATAACCATAGTTCGTGACAAGCATCTCTCTTGGACGCTCCTACCTCAAAAACAGCGGAAATTGAATGTAACAGTAATCGGACTTCCGAATCGTATCGAAACAAAACCTCCCCTCATCCAAATTATCACCGGGTAGCGAACGAGAAAGGCCGATCTACACATTTATTTCCCGTTTCAAGAGAAAAATGGGAACAGCCAAGCAAGCTTCGGGGGCCTGCTTTGTCCGGACTCCGGTAGCTCTCCACATAATCTCGGCTCAAAAGTACAACGGCGATGAAAACAGAGGATCGATGGCATGGAAAAGGAATTGAACTGGGGAATTTTGAGGGTTATGTAATTTCTTTCTGAGATTTAGCTGGAGGGTAGCCAGTCTAAGACTCCGGATTCGTAGCTTCGCGCACTGGCGGGGGGAGAGATAACAATCTATTAATTTTGTATGAAACTGATATGCGGACATGTAGTCCTGCAAGTAAAGTAACGTAACACTACCCATCAACACATCCTTGAAGAGAACTCAGGCACAAGCCTCAAAGCACCATCCTAAAATCCGGGTCTCTATCATCTGCATACCCAACATACTGGTCGTACTTCCCCTTCGCCTTGTCCTTGTTAACCTTGTGGCAATAAAGCACATTCAAGGCAACCCTACATCCATGCATTAGGACGGTCATGTGACTTATAAATAGGAGGGAGAGACTCACAAGATCCAAGCACCAACAAGGAGGCCGAGCACGACAGTGTGACCCCTGTGGAACTGCGGCTTCTCCGCATTAGGGTAAATAAAAGTCGCCACGAAGCCCCCACTATTAGCAATCGCCAGCTGAAGCGCCGTCGTCGTCGCTCTCTTGTAATGCCCAGCGCTGTTATTCGAGTTCCAGACCAGAACGCACGGAACACTCGCGTACATTCCCGTGGCCATCAGGAACGTCATCCCGTACTTGACTTTCGGATGAGCGACGCTGACGTTGGCGATGACAGCGTAGCCGATGATGGCGGGAATGAGGACGAAGAGCATGATGACCCCGCGCAACTTGAGGCGATCCGATATAATGGAGACGATGACTGTTACCACGGAGGCGACGGCGTATGGGATCACGGACCAGAGTTGGGCTTCGTTGGCTGTGTAGCCGAGCTCGACGATGATAGTGGGGAGGAAGAGGCCGAAGGAGTACAGGCCGGCTAAAATACCAAAGTAGGCCGAAGCGCTGAGCCAGGTAGAGATGTTGAATATGCCGCGGGCAACTTCGGACCATTTGAAAGATTCATGGCTGCGCTCGCTAGACATATTTAGCTTTATATGCATGAGAAGGAAAGAGCACACACCTTCCATCTTCAGCAAGTCTTGAGGGCATGTCTAGATGCAATCTAGTCGCAGCAAACACACGTTCTTCTTTCTTCAAAAATGAAGCGGTAGAAACGCTATTGGGGAGCATGAAGTAGGCAAATATACCAACGACCACAGTCTAGTCATGTCAAATTTTGCAAGTACCAGGGTAGGATGAACAAAACACAAACCATTAGGCCTTCGATGATGAATATCCAGCTCCAAGTATCTTGGTGACCTCGTTTCCCAATAGACGTGAGTCCTCTTGCAAGCAAGCCACCAAAGGCACCGCTTAGAGAAGCAGCAGTATAGAAGAGACCCAATCTAAGAGCCATCTCTCCTCTTGTATACATCCCAGACAAGTACAGAACCTAAGCCACGATCAGCTAAAAACCCCATTGGACTCCAGGAATCGACTTACAATGCCAGGAAGTAGACCGCCTTCAGTTATCCCCAAGATAGCTCGCGCAGCCATGAATCCGGCGTAATTCTTGATGAACCCGAGACACATCGTCACGATACCCCACATGACTGTCAAGGCAGGAAGCCAGATCTTCGGCGAAATCCTCCTCAGAACGAGATTGCTGGGGATCTCACTCGCAATATACGTCGCATAGTACACCGCTAACCCAGTATCATACTGATGATCAGTTATTTTCAAACTAGTTTCCAGACCATATGTCTTCGCGTTTCCGACATTCGTGCGGTCGAGAAAGGAGCAGAGGAAAAGGAGGGCGAGGATAGGTAAAATCCTAGTGGGGAAAGCGCGTCAGTCTCTTTCCTAGACATTGAAACTATTCAGAATAGATAACGCCGAAGCATACCTAAAATCGAGCTTCAACAGAATCCTCCGTGTCATAGCAGCATCAGCGGCCAGCACAGTCGTGCTACCCTGCGTCTCCTCCGCATTCTCCAACTTCTCATCCAGGCCCAGTTCGTCTCTGTTCTTCTGCTCTTTATCGCCCATTTTTGCGTTTTCGGGTTCTTGTATGAAGTTAGGATAGAGAGAAGTTGCTTCGTGCGCGCTGAATGAAAGTGAGGGGAAGCATTCTGGGGGAAAGCTGGGGATGCAGAGCCTTGATGTAGACTTTCCTGTTTGTGTGATGTTGCCCCGAAGGAAGCTTGCATCCATCCCGCCATCCAGTTGCAGGTCGCTGCAATGTCAGCGCTAGGCCCGCCTCTAGTGGTGCACCGGGGCTTCTTTTATTGCCGACACCACTGCATCTCAAATAGTGACATTCTTTCTCACAAACTCTCCGACTTTCGGGCGGGATTCTGGATGCTGTCGAGAGATATATTTAGGAAGGAGAGGAAGCACAGCTTTCGGTTGAAATTGAGATTGAGGAGCAAGGAAAGGAAGATGTCGAAACTTTCGCCGAGCTTGAAAGCGCTCATCAATGCTCCATTCGCGCGGCCAAACACACTCCCTGCATCGCCTCGAATACGCTCTGTGTACGAGGGTCTGAGGAAAGAGGCAACGTCTAAAAATGTCGGAGTACCGGCATGGCTGACGTTATCTGTAAGTGAAGTCATGCTGAACGCTGAGAGGAGGTTGTGTTTCATCTGATGTTCATAGACCGCGGCTACGATGACGATGAATTCCCCAGACGGGTTAACAGAGCTGTACAATCTCGCTACGGCAGGCTCAAAAGACAAGAAACAATCTGTTGAGACAGCTGAGTTGATGAGGGAGATCGGGCTGAAGTGTATTGGATTCAATGGCGTTCGTACCTTTCAATTCCCTTTAGATTCAGAATTGATACTGACCACGTGACATGCTCTAGGTCCCTCGAACAATCAACTGTCTAGGAGCCTTCCGCTCAAATCTGCCAAATGAGATCGTCTCCTCGTTATCTACAAAACCTACTCGGTCTGTCGTTACCCGTGTTCGTTTTGGGGCGGTGTGCTGACCTCTCACAGAGTTGCTTCGACGAACAACATCAACGACATCATCAACCGAGGTCAATCCCTCTGGTCATCCATCTACCGCCCCTTCGATAGCAAACTGTTCTCAAAACTTGCAGACTCGCACCCTGACCTCCCCGTCTTCATCCTGAACCACGAGTACGGTGCTTTGTTCGCTGACCCTCCTGTCCTTGGTCGTGAGACTGGCGCCAAGGTTGGAAGAGTGCTGACGTCCATTGTTGCGGTGGCCTGTTTACGTGCTCAGACGGGCGTTGGACCGCAAGTTGTGAGTCATGTGTTTGGGTTGCGGAAGGCGTATGAGGATGAGAGTTTCAAGGCTAGTGGGGAGTTTCCTGTCGAAGGGGGAGAGTGGCTTGCTACTGATGAGGGGAATGTGTGGCTCTTAGACGCGGTGGATAGGATTGTTGAGGCATTGGGGGAGGGGAGTGGTAGTTCCTTCGCGCCGGGGATGGAGAGGGCGAAGTTGTAGATAGATCATTGTTTATGACCTTGTATAGATTTGTATATACATAGCAATGACTCTATAAACGTGCAATGGAAAGCATGCCCTCAAAACCATCCCAAACACCGGATGACAGCAAAATCTTCTATCTTTATTTTATATACAGTTCACTCCATAGACTTTATATCATCTGCCACCGCGAACTTCGCATCCGTCTTACTCCTCACCTCCTCGACATCCACACCCGGCGCAAGCTCCGTCAATGTCAACCCACCCTTAACTCTATCAACCTCAAAAACACACTATCACACGTCAGCACTCTCCATCCTTTTGATCACTCCATATCACTTACCAAATCCGTAATAATCGTACTAACACACCTCGCGCCCGTCAACGGCAACGCACAACTCTCCACAATCTTGGCGCTCCCATCCTTCGCCACATGTTCCGTCGCAACCATAATCTTCGTTTGGTCTGGGTTGCCCACAAGATCCATCGCGCCTCCCATCCCCTTGAATACTTTGCCTGGGATCATAAAGTTTGCGAGGTCACCATTGGCAGAGACTTGTAGCGCGCCAAGGACGGACACGTCAATGTGCCCGCCGCGGATCATGGCGAAGGATTCGGCGGAGTCGAAGGTTGACGCGCCTGGTACCATAGTTACAGTTTCTTTTCCGGCGTTGATGATGTCGCTGTGGGTGATCAGTAGAGAATCAGTTGAGGGAAGAGATAATACTTATTACTTACGCATCGATTTCATCCTCTGTTGGATATGGGCCCTAAAGCATGTCAGTATGGAAGATCAAGGGGGGTTCATCCAGACTCACCATCCCTAAAAGTCCATTCTCAGACTGAATCCACACCTTCGTCTCCGGATCCAGATAACTCGGCGCCAACGTCGGTAGACCTGCTATGATCAGTCTCACTCCTCTCTCATTTGTTCAACTTAGCAAACTCACCCACGCCAAGATTAACATAATACCCATGCTTCAACTCCTTACTGGTCCGTCTCGCAATCCTCTCTCTCCTCAGCAACGCCTCAGATTTCTTCCCGCCCTCTGCCTGTCCTTCGACTTCTTTCAACTTCCGAATCTCAATCACCTTCTCCACAGTCGACGGCACAATACGATCCACATATATTCCTTGCAAATGCACATTATCAGGATGAATATCACCAACAGGCACGATATTCTCTGCTTCAACAATCGTAACTTTTGCCGCTTTGCCAACTACTTGGCCGAATGCTTTTGTCGTATATCTTTCTCCCGTTAGTCCGTCGTCCGAGTCTTTGATTGAGGATGGGCAACAGGAGGACTTACCGGAATTGACAGTTCCCAGCTTCATCCACTTTCCATGCTCGTAATATTGCTAGATCACCTTCAATCGCAGTCTCCATGCCGTAGACCTTGCCGTCGAATATTCTGGTTTCTCGAGGCTTGCCTTTTTCTAAGATGGTGGATTTTCCGGTTGCTTGGTCGACGGGACCGAGGCGGACGGGGATATCTCCTGACTGCAATAATGTATCTAGAAATAAAGTCGCTCAGCATCAACACAGGCTAGTTAGACTTCTGGTGTAGCTTACTGATCCCTGTAGGCGTAAAAAAAGCAGGAATTCCTGCTCCTCCAGCTCGAATCCTCTCTGCAATCGTCCCTTGCGGACAGAGCTCAATCGCAATCTCACCACTGAGATACTTCTTCTCGAGAAACTTGTTCCCTCCCAAGTACGACAGTATCAATCTTTCAATTTGTCCTGATGCAACGAGCGGCGAGAGGCCGCCGCCGCCTGCAGCTCCTGCGTTGTTGGACACTGCAGTAAGATTGTTGAGGCCATCTTTTCCTCTCCGCTCGATTGCTGCTATGATAGTTTCTGCCAAATGAATGACCAATCAGCATCAAATACCACGATTTGTGAGGAGGATTCAGTTGGGGAAATTTACCAGCAGTCCCGCACAGTCCAAACCCAGCACTCAATATCACTGCTCCACTCTTCAGATCTTTGACCGCCGCATCGGCATCCTTAAACACTTTTGATTGACCCCTTATGATTTTCGGCGCTGGATCTCGTTTTGCGCTTGTATTTGCCTGTTGTTCGAGGCGGATTGAGGTGATTTGGAAGTGCCGCGCTTGGGGGATAGAATTGGGACGAAAGTGGATGCTGGGTGTGGAGAGGAAGGCATTGGCTCTGCGAGTCGACTGTGTCAAGCAAGCTGAGGTTATTCTTCGTATCGCCATTTCTCTATAGATTGAAAATATCTGGGTTTGAAAGTATCTGGGATTGAAAATAACTGGGATTGAAAATATCTGGGAAATTAATCAGAGAAGGAGAGGGAAGGTGGTTTATTGAGTCGTTCTCGTCGATGATGAAGTCACGTTCGGAGATGTTTCTGCCGAAACGCGGCAAGGCGGTGGGGGATGGCGGATGTAAATTTACCCCCGAAGGTGGAGGTTGATTTTCGTCCGAGGTCATACTTCCGGATAAAGCGGTGATTTTTCTGATGCCGATGCCTACACGTGAGCATCGACTCCTTTTTGATGAGACCGGGATTAACATGGGATTCAGGCGGCGATATTTCTGATGCCGGACGAAATATGAAGTACGAGGCTCGAATACGGTACGTCAACATCATGATGGGGATGATATTCGATCCTGTAGATCAGTCCTATGCAGTTGGACGACACGTGACGTATTAGAAAATGGCGAAGCAACAGCCGTTCTGGCTTGGGTTTGTGAATCAACCTCCTAATTTGTGTGTATGGAGATACTGAATTTATTGCAGTGGTGCATCTGCCTCCATGGCGGCCTGTTTCAGTGAGTTGTGACTCTCCGCTACTCGATCCTCTACTGACTTTGCCGTTCAACAGCCCACCCTCTTGATCGAACCAAGTAGTAAGTTTGTCTCCAAGAAACAATGATTGAGAATGAGATAACGTGCAAATTGCTGACAAGATAAAGTTGTATGCAAGTCCTGTCCTCGAAGCAACCAATGTTGAAAGCACTGCATACTTTTGCAGTCCGTGATGGTAAGGACGACATCAAGTCGCAGTCACTCCTGGTTCTGACGTTGCAGGCATTCGATCCCTTTGGTCCGGTCTGTCAGCTTCAATCCTCCGCCAGACGACATATTCCACCGCGCGGTTTGCATTGTATGACATTCTTGCGCGCAACTGGCAGCTGCGAAACGGAGCAAAGGTCTCTGCAGGGTCCACCATCGCGTGCGCCGGGATAGCTGGCGGACTCGCGGGAATGATAGGAAATCCAACAGAGGTAGTTAATTTGGCCCTTGGGACGTCGATGAGTCTGACACGCCAACTTCCAGATAGTTCTCGTCCGGATGTGTGCAGATGGCGTGAAGGCACCGGCCCAAAAATATCTCTACCCGAACGCCATTCGCGGGCTGATCAGAATTGGAAAAGAAGAAGGCTTGAGAACTTTCACAAAGGGCTTAGGACCAAATGTTGTAAGGAGTATCTTGATGAGTGGGTACAACCTGTCCTCTTCTTTAAATCTGGGCTAACGAAAAGGAGATGTTTCGCAGATCGCCGTGTATGCAGCATGACAACACTTATTGGTAGAGGCTAACTGGCATCAGATATACGTCTGCAAAGAGGCAGATTCTATCCAATAAAACACTCAAGGTTTCGGATGGGGTTCCAGTCCATATTGCGGCTTCGTTGGCGGCGGGGACGGTTGCGACAACGCTTTGTGCACCAGCAGATGTCCTAAAGAGCAGGTTGCAAAGCGCAGCTTCTGCGGGCAGAGAAGCTCGGGTATGTAAAAGTCCGAAACTGTTTGCATCCTGCTGACACGGGAAAGGGACTCGTGAGAATATTCTTGAGCTCGTTAAAGAATGAGGGGCCAGGATTCCTGATGAAGGGATGGACACCAGCATGGTTGAGACTGGCGTAAGTTGGATTCGCCCGCTCTGATCGATTTTAGCTGATACTTGCAGGCCCAACACAATCCTCATGTTCCTGTTCATGGAACAGTTGCATCGGTTGGTCGCTGCGAAGACTCTTTGACATTGGAGGTCATCTCGAGTGAGTTTGGGGGTTCCAGGGTTCTGGTCTTTCCAAGGGAAAAAAGGTGGCTCCAGGGGGCAAAGGATACAGAGAGTTATAGAATACGGTACATTCAGGAAATGGGGACACAAGAACGTGTCGATGAAGCTGGTATTGTCGAGTCCTGCGTGCGCCTCGGCGGGGGAAAGGAGGCATGAAGCGTCCCGGGAAGCCTCCGGAGGAAGCGGGAGACTTGAGAAAATAGGATACTAAGAACGAATAGACTTTGTAGTATAAGCCAGATATTTGATTGAATGCAACCCGCTTGATGTCTCGCTGGCTGATTTCTAGGGCTGGATAATTATATATAATCCCCACCCCATTATGGTATAATTATAAATAAAGCTCTTGACCCCATTATGCGTTATATTATGTGGGTCCAATGGAGGTTTCGAATTGAACCAATCACAGGGCTAGAAATTAATGCACGTGAGACCCACTTCTCCCACTTGCAGAATATGGGCGGGAGAAGAATAAAAGTATCCCTTCGTCCGCTGAGACATTGCCACATTAGCAGCCGCACATGAATATATCTAATTCAGCCAGAATATAATCCAAATTAGGGATATTCATGTGCGGCCGCTAATGTGGCAATGTCTCAGCGGACGAAGGGATAACTTTAGTCCTGAAAGCATGCCATGTGACCTGTCATTTGCATTAAAAAATCCATAAATTACATATAAAATTATGCATATAATAAAGCTGATCCCATTATATATAAATAAAGCTGACCCCGTTATATATAATATAATTATGTAAAAAATTTCCACCCCTACTGATTTCCAATCAACTTCGATGAAGTTGTGAGAAAATCTTGTCAGTTGTGGCGTTTGACGGCCGCCACAAAGCGGGGTCGACCGAAATGACATCACGTGCAACCTCCTCCAGACGAACTTCCAATCGTGTTCACTCTTTCCTTCTTCACGAAATCCTTCCGCCCTAGTACTTCATGGGCCGAAGGAGGAGAAAATTCTTGCGAACATCACATCTTCCTGCCCAGAGCCCCAGAGACAGCTCGATGCCAGCCTTGTCGCGATGTTGGGAAATTTTCCGATCTTGACAGCATCATCCCGATGGAGGTCCAGTCCCCGTCTAGCTCGAATGCGACCGACAAGGGTGAGAACCAGAAGCAGGCTGCATGTTTGAATTGTAGGAGGAGTAAGACGAGATGCCTGCGTGATGCTGGCCATCTCAAATGCAAGAAATGTGCCCAGACACAAGCAGAGTGCATCGTCCCGGAATATCGGGTGGGCCGGAAGAAAGGGATCAAGAAGTAATGTGATATCTTCGACTCTTGGGTTTTCCCAAATTCACAACTCAATAGTAAACGTGATGGGCTGGAAAAGGCTGTCTATCAAATAGAACAGGCTATCAAGAGGTCGAAGAGCAGCGACCAGCAATTTGAAGCAGACCAGGACACACAGCACCTGCGAACCCTCTTGAGCGAGGCACAAGGCCTGCTGCCCAGACAATTGACAAACGGTTCCGAGGCCTCTTTTCATCACCAAAGAACGCCCAGTCAGGATCAAGGTCCTCATCAGCAAACCCAATTTGGACAACCGACCCTCTCTGGAATTCAGACTTCAGACGACAACTTCGAGGTTGACGACGCAGAGAACCCGCTGCAGCTCCTTGCAAGAGCCTCGGATCTCTCTGCCCCGCCAAATCAAGCATCATATACCACAAATCGCTCCTCATTTCCCCAACCTCGGAGTTCAAACGTGGTGGCGGATCCCGATCTTCAGGCCTTCTTCGGACCATTTCGTCCCAGCTTGGATGTCGGATCTGACATTGACCCCATTGATATGGGACTTGCCACGGAAGTTGAGGCTAACACATTGTTCCAATAGTGAGTAGCCCTTCCTCAGTCAACATGCATCGAGACTTACAGTATAGTTTCTACGACAATCTTGCACATACACGATGGGGTCTCGACCCGCTGCTCCATACTCCGAAATTCGTCCGAAAGCAGTCGTCATTCTTGTTTACCTCGATTATGGCTGTATCAGCCATTTTCATCCCAACTGCTGCTGCATTGTCCAAGCGACTCAAGTCTCACTGCAAACTTCTCGCTCGAGATATCATCGTCAATAGGAATCGATCGCCCGAAATCGTCCTGGCGTTCATGGTCAATATTCCATGGATGGCACCTGGAAAGCATTGGGCAGATGATGAAACCTGCTCCTATATGGCCTCTGCTCTCACTATTGCAGTGGATATCTCATTGAACAAACTCATTGTACCGTCGCCGAGTGAGTCCTTAGCAGGTGTTCATGAGATTAGGTCGCCATCAGAATGCATCGCCGCAAGAAAAGCACTGGATCTCGATGGTTTCCAAGACGTAGAGCCATTATCCCAGCTAGGGCAGCGATTGCTTCGTCGTCGAGAAAGGATATGGCTGGCCTTGTTTGTGCTCGACAGAGGGTATTTCTAGTTTCCAGCAGGTTTAATTGTAGTGGCTAACCTATTCCAGTGTATGTCTCGCGAGAGGACGAAGCTTCACAGTGCCTATCACTCCAATCATCGAGCATTGCGATAATTGGCATCAATCCCCGACCGCAGATAGTTGGGATGGGTCCATCGTAGCTTCAACGATGCTTCGGAGAGATCTCGCATGCAAATTTGTGTCTGGATTGAGAACTTCACTGACTCTTGCACAGGTCGACCTCATCTCGGATGTCAAAAAGACCTGCGACAGTAACAGAACACACGCTGTGAACGGATCTACCATAGCCCAATCGTGAGTCGGAATTCTCGCAGGATGCGCCTGCTGACTCGTCCCAGGCTGCAAGATATGATTGATTCGTTTTTCGGCAACTGGTACGCGACGTGGGCATTTGCAACAGGCGGGATGAAAGGTTTGTGCCCTGTATCCCATTGTTTTTTATCTGCTCACAACCTCCAGATAACTCGATCCCTCCATATGTGGAAATCCTCGTCACCCACGGTCGCCTCTCAATCTATTCTAGTGTCATCAACCACCCCACTGCCCCTGTGGAAGTGAAGCGCTTTTTTCGCGCAGCCGGTCTCTCCTCCTCACTGAACGTAATGCGAGCTGCAGTTCAAGGCGAAAGTCGATTAAAGTCGATGCCAAACAACACCGCGATCATGATTTCCTTCGCTGCCTGCTTTGCATTCTATCTCAGCACCTTGGGCTCGACGGGAAGCATAAGCCTAGCACCGAGTATCCGACGACTAATCGAAGAATCTGCTGATGTACTGGAGAGAACTGGCTCGAATCCGCCGCATCGCAATGGCACTTCCGCTCTCTACGGCCGTCATCTCCGTGAAGTCGTTGGATCGCCTCCCCAAGCAGTCGAATCAAGAAATCTCCCAGGACAGAACCAACAACAATATTCGGTGCAGCAAATACAAGCACCGATTCAAACTTATCAGAATAGAGGAGACTTAGGATTGGGCCAGATGGATGCTGAATTCCTGCAGTTCTCTGCTATGTCAGACGATCAGATCACGGAGGCAATCAATAATGCGGGGCAGGAGTTGGAGACATATATGCCGACTTTTCAGATGGATGATAAGACAGGATTGGATTGGTTGGATTGGTTTAATATGGATGTGAATGGCTAGACCAAAATCTTATTTACTACCCAAGAGGAAAAGCCGGCACCGAGACGTATCAAAAGCGCTGGCTGCCGTTAAACTTTGTGGTCAGCCGGCTCACTATAACTGGGAAATCTGTATTCCGTGTGAGTGCACTCCGAACGGCATCTCCTCCTTGTTTCAGGGATCACTATGCAGCCGTACTCTGGGTCATACCAGAACCTAACGTAATCTTCGTCCGAAAGCGACCCGAATGCTATCATATAGATCCTCCAAATAGGCGACCTATTTTCAATAAGCAAACTACAACATTTAATAGCACGGTTTCTCCGTATTCCAACGGTGCAGCCTTCAAGCCACAAAGCTTCGACAACAGAGTCGCATTTTCCATTACGCCAAATATAGAAATGAGGAGCTGTGTATCCAAATTATGTTTCCCGCGTCAATTTAATGGCATCTAATAGGTTCCAGCTGTTTCCACAGGCCATGGGAAGCATGTAACTGGTTTTATTGCTTCTGCTGTTTAATGATTGCCTCTCCCACTGCCCATGACTCCACGAGATTCTCCGCGCACTTCAAAATCATCCAAGTTTCCGCATTTAATGTTTGGAAAAAGGGATTCCTAGAGATGTGAGGATTCCATTCACGATGTCGCGTTTCGTCATAGAAGCATGCCTCTTCCTGGCGATCTTCAGCTCCAAAGTACCCGGATATTAGTAGATGAACGACGATTTCAAAGAGAAGAAATGAGTGGGCTGAAATTGATGCAGCATTGGAGATAACTCTCTCAACCAAATGCGAGGCACTCTTAAACTTACATTAGCGTTCTGTACTCCCTGCCTCAAAGTTGTCAGACTCTTACTGGGATACGAACGTTTCCCAATACTAGTTGCGTCCATGGGGATATCCCATCAGCATTTATATACGACAATAATTTTCCAACTCCGAACTGGAAGGAACCACAGGCAAATGGTTACAAATAAATTCTCCCGTTTTATGCTACTATCACGTCTCTACTCGAATTCTCCGTCAGCTCTTCAAATTCTACTCTCCCCCAACAATCCAAATGTGACAAGTTAGATAGCCATCTGGAAATGCCCTCCCTCGCCAGAGGCCGAGTTTTAGTTTCTCGTTTCGGGTTTATTCTGAGTCTTTCCAATTCTTCCTCAGTAGGGATTTTATCCGTATTGAAGCACCCCCTCTTTGTTCCAATCATTCTGCTTCCCTCAAACACCTCAAATCAGTGAACATTCCTTCAATCTACAATCTTGCGCCTTTAGATAACCTTTGGAATCAGCACCTGTATCCGACCATTCTTGATACTATCCGCTTGGTCGTTATATGCCCCGGCGCATCCCAGAAGTCAGATCACCGCTCTTGGCAAAGACCTCCAAAGATAATCCGCAGAAGCATCCCTCCCGTGAACCAAATCTTTTTTACATTTCCACTTCGCCTTACACCCCCGGATATCATCATATCAAGAACGGAGCGGAACTATTCCCATCCCATTCTGTGGATAAATCCGTCGGACATGGCGTCATGGATACAACAATGCTAAGTATTTGCACAAGGGTAACTTTATATAAACAAAAAGAAGAAGGGAAATAAATGAAACTACCAAAACCTTTTTCTTTATATGACGCAGCTATATATGCCGTATTTATAGTCGGAGGCATAGGAAATAACACGGGTTCACAATTGTCGAATGGCAGTCACGTGCAGGTCATGAAAACTTACAAGTAGAAAAGTGATTAAATATTTAAATTCTATTATTTTGTATGTTTCATATGCTATATCAGTATATGCAAATTTTGTATAATTGCATATCTAATATTTATTTGGTAATACCACTTCCGGTTTTAAGGTTATTTGGAAATGGGTTTCTCTGGAGGACTTATGAATTGGTCACGTGTCCAAAAAAAAAAGAAGAAAAAAAGCAACACCAGCTTCCAACTGACAGTATCGATTCGCTTCGCTTGGGTTTGCTTAACAGAGTTGACTCGGGTTGTGATTATGCGATTTAGGTTTCAGCCCTATCAGCACACACAACAATACCCCTTGTACACGCACCAGGGTCTTGGAATCTACACAAGTTGCCCGTCTGTTTTCAAAATAAGGATCTATCTTTGTTGGGCATTCTGTTCGCCCTGGAACAAGGATGCTCTCCTTTTGCGACGGTACGCATCGCTTTGACTCCTACGCAAACATCCCAGGACCCGGCCAGGCTCTCGGAGTAGAAGAATTACGTGTGGGCGTCCTCGAATGGCCTGAAGGCAAATAACTCAACCACAAGCATGTTGTTGAGAAAGATAGCTGACTTGTTTGGCTAGCACTATTGCAAAATGCCGCTTCCGCCCAGCCCATTCGTGAAATGAGCCTAGACGGTCTGTTCGCTCGTCCAGAACCTCATTTGCGTGTAATGTTAGTAACATTGGAGCTGCTGCTGTGCTGTCGGATCAACTAATTTGTAGACGGGTAGATTCGCTCCCCTGGACGAACCGACACACGAGACTGTAGCAGGTCTTGAGCAACTCTTTCGGCACTACTCAGTTCCTCCCGGCTTTGTATCCGAAAGAATTCAATCCGTTACACACTCTTTCGGCACCAATAAAGATAGTAATAACTGGCATTGTAAGTACACTGCGTATCCCTTCTAAACTGTGGAGCTGATATAGCAGACTCTTGGTTTCACTTCCTATGCAAGAACATTACTGTTCAGCATTTTGAGGGCCACAGTCCGCAAATAATTAACCCTGTTATTGCTCCGGGCGCTTCAATTCACCATAACCAAATGGATTGGTCTTGGATCAGGGCAGGATTTTTCTTAAAATGGTTTCCGTTGAGTAGTTCCTATCCTAGTAACCACACTTGCATGACTTTGATCTGCTTTGGAGCATCCATCTCGCTCCAGCAACGATTCGAGCGCCTTGCCTCAAATTCTACATGGAGAGATGCAGTCCATGACCCATATAACCTTTTCGTCATCATCTTAGATGAGTTGTTCATTCAAGCCGATGGTTTGGTTTGGAGTCTATCTGATGTATTTCGTGCAATCGAAGAAGTGAGTACAGTACTCTCTCCCCTCTTGGTACACTTTCCAACACCATATTGATGCAGATAGAAAACGCTCGATCGGGCACATTCCCGAGATTACAGCGACCAACTGGATTTTGTCGGTCTGCATAATGTGGCCAAGCACATTATCTACTTAAAGGAAGGCTCAGATGCTATTCTCCTGACCGTTGAGAATATGCTCGCCCATCACAAATATCTCTTGGAGATGGCTGGTCCCAGCAGCACAGAGGCCATGGAAGCAACACAATTCAGGCTAAAATACAAGCAAGGACTTTTTCACTCGGTGAACCTGCGTCTGAGGAGCTTGGAGAAAAGGATGCAGAATATTATTAATCTAGTAAGCAGCCCGAAGGGAAACCGCGAGAAATACGCCGTGGCTGACATTAGTTTGAATAGTCCTTTAATCTCGTGACGCAGCAAGATAGCAGAGTCATGCAAAGAGACAGTGACTCGATGAAGACTATCGCAGCAATGACTCTATTCTTCTTGCCGATCTCTACCACGGCTGTAGGTGGCCTCGATTCAAATTTCGATTAATTAAGGATCGGCTAATGTGTTGTAATCTTAGACCATTTTTGGCAGCCAATTTTTCAGCTTTGATAGTACGGGAGGACATATCCGAGTTTCTACAACATTTTGGTTATTTTGGGTCATTTCAATCCCATTAACTGCTACCGTTGCCATCCTGTGGTACTTGTACAATGGGAGGTCTGTAAGAAGGTCGAATCCTGGGCACTAATTATCTTATCTCTAAGGCATTGAGAGGACGGTGACATCATCCTGAAGTGTTAGCAGGGCAATCCCTGAAATCTCTATCCCACCTCCTAGTGCTGAAAAAAATGCTATCTAAATAAATAGCTGTGTACTCTTGATTCTAGGGTTGTTTGGTTTAGGAACTACACAAGAATTGGTCGTGGTAAATGGAACTTAATTATCTACAACTCGACGGATAGTTGCAGTGACCTCCGATGTTGATTTAGGTGACGGCACATCTGGATTTAGCATGTGGCTATCTAATAAACTAACAGGTGCTACAGTTTATGATAGTACTTGTATTATATTTAAAGCCTGGTCTGTTAAAGGCCATGATCGGTGACCGAATCAATTTGCATTGAAATGGCGCGCTCTCGGTTTCCTTGCTAATAAGAGGAGACATCTCCAAGTTTGTTAAACTAATTCGAACTATCCCAGCCAGCGACGCAATACAAACGGATGTGCTTTCTTCGTCAAATATAAGGTGCTAGAAGGAGGGAAGGGCTGTTGCATGGCGAGGCTTGAGGGGACACCGACGGGCCTACTTCCCGGGGTCATATCACATCATGTTATGCACCGTTAACTCTGTAGCAATGTGAGGCACCAGTACAACAACTATGAAGGTAGATAAATACACATTATTCATTTTTGTTTAGTTGGATAGAAAAACGAATGCATTCCTAGTATTAATTTCCCGGGCAATCAAAGATCAACAGACGTAAATAATTAGAAGAGAAAATGGAAATAGACTTCTTTTCATCAAACATTGTTAGCTCCTCCCTCGGGATATGTTTGTGAAGGTTTGCAGTGGCAGCGGGTCTGAGGCGGCCTCTGCAATCCAAGCTGTAAACTATCCACTCGAGACATCTTTTCCAACACCAACGTCTTCATCCGCAATACTGTCTCGCGATAAAGTGTTTGAGTTGGCCAGTCATAGGAGCACATGACGGCACGCTGCATGCCTCCCTCACTTCCGCACAATAACACTGCAACGGGCGGTCGCGCAGCCCGAAACATTGTCACTGTCATGGTGTAAGTGTCGACAAGCGTGAATACCTTTGGTTGCCCATGATTTCCGTTGCTAGCCTCCTGTACTAGACGTTTGACAACTGGATCTTCCGTGGGATCTATCCCGATACACTCATCTTCATCTGTCTCGTAGTGGCGAGAAAGCTCGCTACTGAATGGGCTCCACGTCAGGCGACCCAAATTAACGCCAAAAATGTTGGTTTCAATGGTTGCGATGTCAAGGTAGCCTTCGAAGCCGAAGAACCATGGTTGTGTGCCCCATGATTTGCCCATGTAGATGACACGAAGCATGTACGGAGATGCGAGGATCGTAGCCAACGAGAAAGCGAGGAAGAAGCCGCCGATACCAAGAAGAATCTTGATCTTAGGAGTGCCGGAACCGAGCGCAATGAAGAAGACTCCCAAAATGAACCACGCTGGAGCTCCGCGAAGGCAGATCCTTGCGACCCAACGCTTCACTGTAGTCCGCGTGAGAAGGGCAACTGGAGCGAACGATTTCCATCGAATTGGAGCTCCAAATGCTCCACTCAGGATTACCGTATTGTCGTCGCCAACTCCAGCAACCTGGCACGTCGGATCGATATCCCATAAATTTACGTCCCAAGCATCGTCTGTCGTGTACCACTGTTGGCCGATATCCTTGGGCAGTGTGCAAATCAAGCGTTCAAGTAACTTGTTGCTGTCGTTGGCGAGAGATAGTCGTGCGAAAGCCTGGAAAGCAGTGTCTTCAGGATGGACCTTGGGCCTACGCCGCAGAAGTCCCATCAATGCATACGACATATCACCTTCGGACCACTGCACGGTCTCTCGACTTTGTAAGCACCGCAATGCAAGAGTAACTAATTCCAGCGGTGTCAAGTGTATGGACGATTCATAGTGGTCAACCAGCTGCCTAGCAATAGCTGCGTCCTCCCACGCAAGAGCTGCAAAGTTTCTTTTATGCACCGTCAGAGGGCTGTTCATGTCCTGCCCACGAGTGTAAACGGCAATTTCGTGGTTCCGGGGACTGAGCAGAACCTCTGGAAATGTCCACATTCGAGTTCCCCACTGTTTCAGCATTCCCTCCATCCCCATCTCACACTCATTATTTCCGGATGGGGGGCCGACAATAACGACCAAAGAATGAGCGCCGCGAACGACATCGCTGATCCGGTGGATATCTTCTGTTATCTGGTCTTCGTCAGGCATGCAGCTGCATCCAATCCAGTATGCTGGGACACCAGTGGCTCTAGCTGCTCCCTGGGCGATATGGTGGAGAGCTTCCATGTCTTCATCCTCGTCCTGAGAGAATTGCTCGTTCGTATATGCCACGAAGATATAATTCATGTCATATTCAATTCCTTTCCGGGAAATCCGATCTTCAACTTTCTCAACACTGACTCCATTCACTTCATCCAGAAAACATAAATATCTTGGTCGGAGTGGCCGCTCCGATATAGGGTTGATTCCTTGACTCTCTCCGAGTACCCTGCGATTGTTCATTGCACTGTCTTGGGGGTTGCTTGGGATTTTAGCATAGCCCCAATATCGGTACTTGAACTTTTCATAGAAACCGCTGTTCCTCACTTCGCCATTCAAGTCTGCGGGAATGAACATCTGCAACAAGTCAGACAGGACCCGAATGAAGATGCTGCAACAACTTCAAAGAGGTTCGAACCTACCAAAACGAAAAGTGCAAAGGACGCTGGAAGCCACTTGACAAAAACTCTACCCCAGTCGTCTTCGCCGAGGCGAATTTGGCCCCTTTCAGCCTTCTGGTTTGCGTTCAATGATACAGAAGACTCGTCGCTGATGGGACCTCCCATAACCGTCTGATCTGGGTACATCGATATAGAAGACATTGTCCAGCATACAATTCGAAGCATGAGGGGAGTTGCATTTCGAATGGTGGTGCGTTTCCAAGTCACGTCGGTGGGACGGTTACACAGCTCACCAGCCGTCTGCACAACAAGTTCCGCTAAGCGCCCATCGTGAGAACTCAGATATCGATCGTCTTCCGGTCCAATCCAGATTCTTCCCAACAAATCTCTGTGCCGATATGCGCAAGAACAATGACCAGGTCTGTTGGTGTTTTGGCCTGTTGGTGGAGGATTTTTTGCGCTCTCACAACCAAGTTCTGTGGGTAATGGTGGCAATGGAGGCCCTTTGTCCATCATTGATGGGCTACGAGATGGGTATGATTGTGAACTGCTGGTAGGATTTGGAACAGGTGGAAGCGGGTAGTTCTCTCGAAGCACCCGAGATCCAGTTGCTGGCCCCATAGCAGGAGGAAGCGCTGGTGTTAGACGTATGGATGCTTCAATCCTATTGTGCTGACCTCCGATATGAGTATGCGTAGAGATTTTTGGATTGCGTTGCTGCTCGTGGCTGAATTGCCTTAAGCATGCCTGGGGGCGTGAGAAACTGTGTGATTTACGATAGAGAGTGTCTTTTGCTTACTTACAGTTATGGAGAAGCCAACCTGCGTGGATGGAAATATATCTGGGGAGTTCGCCCTCCGTACGAATTTTTCTTTTGCGTCAATGGTCAGCCTTCCACCTTAGTTTAGCTACACAGAATTCCGTCGTAGCATTTTTAAATACTTTTCGTCGTCCCTAGCAGAACCGCGCGTACCGTAAAAAGGGGCTCAAGAAGGCCGAATGTTTCGGAAAGAAAATTTTGGGACGCCCTAAGCTGACGTGAGGCTGTCGTGCAATTGAGACTGAACCTCATCTAAATGAAATCTTAAAATACGATGTTTTGCGTGATCTAGTAGGGTTCTGTATTCCACGACTCCTTGTCCTCGAGCGTAATGGCTCAGTAGTCGGGCGTAAAGGCTAAGTAGTCGGGCGTCGTGACACTGAAACGCGCTATTTCCCGTGCCGCTTGTGTAACGAGGACTTGACTGAGGGTCGTTGCCGCCTTCCCTTTGTGGAGTAAATTCCGGGAGATCACCTCTGGGCGGCGTCATAATTTCACCGACTTGGGCGATGGAGTCCCAGTCATGAGTCAATTGTTCGAGGACGTGCGGCAGCGAGGCTCCAAGTTGTCGATTCGCCTCTCGCAGTCCGCCATTTCCTAGCCGCCCAAAAGAATATGTAATCTTACCTCCCCATACCGAATACCCCCTTCCTCAACAATCTCAACATAACCGAGTCATTTCCCTTTTGAAATTCAACAATTAACAATGGTTTGCTCAAGTCCCACCAAATGCCAAGGTGACTGACCGTACTCAGACAAACTCAAGGCGGCCGCATGGAGGGTCTTTCATACCTGGGAATAAGTCTACAACTCAGCAAGGAGGCACTTTTGGAAAGGTGACTATATCTGACGGTAGCCAACACTTTCCGACCCAGCTTACACTTACTCTGCAGGTGCAACAATCGGGACCTACATACCAACCCACACAGCAGCAACAATCTTCTCAAGCGCTCCAGGGAGCCCAGCAGCCCGTCAAGAAGCGAGCCCATGGAGGAGGATACATACCTAAGCAAGTCACATCGAATTCCTGGCTAGACGGAAACTTGGTTTGACTAACTAGTTTATTAGGAAGTGAGGGGCAAAAGATTACAAACTTCAAGGCTGCTGTTAATGCCGCATCGTCAAGAGTCAGGCTCGGGACGAGGATACGGATGCAGAGGCAAACTTGGGCTAGAGTCGGAGCGTCCGGGGCCTTTATAACTCCATAGCTCCCAGTATCTTTAACTTTTCCGTTACTTTCCTATTAAGCACATGACCCCGTGACAACTGCGGGACCTCTTTCTTAGTTATTATCACATTATCCTCCCCCTCGACAATGTTTTAATTTTCGTGGCCGAAGGCTAAATGGTGTCTTATAGCGTTGCGCGCCCATGGTATGTGTGGAGGTCAGAACCGAAGATCGCAGAGCTGATGAGATGGATTATCGCATCGAGGGAATTAGTACGAAGTTTTGGAACATCGTATTTTTGACGCTGACGGAGAATATCGTTCCTGCCCAGCGAACAGCTTTCGTCTTGCCTTTCCCAACTCTGTCATAGTTAAAACAGTAAACCGGGCTCCTGATATATTAAAATCTCTTCTGCAGAAATTGAATATTGGTAAACGACTTATTGATAAAAGCAAAGAGAAAGAGAACAGGGCCGTGAGACCACTTACCAACAGGATAACTTCATACACACAGCCGTCCAGATACGGCAACTGCTAAAACTTGTGTCAGTCTGAGGGAGCTGTGGGACTTGAGCCTATGACAGTGTGACTTTGGATTCTATGCCCAGTGCATGAGCGATGTGTTATATGGTGATCACCAATACGAGTATTTCATAGTTTGGTCGGAGAAATGCTGAATTGGAGGCTGAGTTGGTCAATATTGCATATTACACGCTCTTCCAATTCATCCTCCTTCTCAACTTCCACCAAAGCATCTCCCCCTTGGCGTCGACTACAGCCCTCGGATTGAATGACGTCCAGAAGTTCGAGGGCGATGAAAATCGCATTGAAAAACGAGCTCTTAACTAGCCAGAGAGCTAATTCTGGGAGTTCTAAGCCTTATATAAGGCAAGTATACTTTTTCTCTTTTAATAATAAAGCTATTTATATATATATTTTTATACTTATAATTTTATTTATATAAGTCATAAAATTAATTATAAGAGTTTTAAATCTTATTTTTAATATTTAAAGCTATATATATATATTATTTATAATATTAGTTTTATATAAAATATTTGTATTATTATCTTTTTTATTATTAAATTAGTATACTATTTTAGCTACCTTACTAGTTCTTCTAGTATTAGATTTAATTACTAATATATTATTAATTTACTTATTTTTAATTTATTAGCTAATTTATAATATATTAAAGAAAGCGGGCTCGATATTATTAATATTACTAATAAGTAATAGAAATAAAAACCCTTATTTTAAATAGTTTCTTTTTTAATTTTAAACTTTACTTTACTATATTTAATTAATTTATATATTATTAATTATTATTATTATAATACAAGTATTACTAGTTTTAAAAACTAGTTCAAAAGTATTATAAGTCAAAAGTAATTATATTAATATCTTTATATATTACTCTTATAATAATAAGAATTACTATAATAAGAATTACTATAATAAGAATATAAATAAAATAATATATATAAAGATTTAATAAGCTTTATAGTATGAGATTATAGTATATAAATAAGAGGTAAAATTAGTAAGTAATATTTAGTTAATTTCTAAAATAAAGAAGAAAAAAGAAGTAATATTATAATAGGAATTGGGCTAATATTTAATATAATTATATATTCTTATATAATCCCTTAGTTCTTTTCTCTTTTCTATATTTAGCCCTCGCTCTTCTTATAAAGAGACATTAAATAACTTAATATAGACTTTACTAATATAATGCCTCCTTAATTTATAATTACTTTTAGCTAATTCCTTATTATATATTATATTTCCTTATATTTCTCTTTATTAATAAGTAATATAAAAATGATTTTAATATAAATTAACTTCTTTTTTTTTTTTTTAGAAAAACGAACTAATAGTCTTTTAATATTATAATTATAACGAAACTCAATAGAAAAAAAAGAAAAAAAAGATAAAAGGCTTAGTTTAAAAAATAATAAATAATACTAAAAGCCCTGAAAAAATCGGAGATTATAAAAAAGAAAATAGAAAAAGAATTAAAGCGAAAACCGAAGCTTATAAAACTAATATAAAAAAACAAAATATTTAATATATTCTCTTGGAAATAGTACTTTAAAGCCAGTATTTAATAATTAAAGTAATATTACTAGTAGGCCTAATACTATAATAATAGTAGCTAAATAGCTATATTAGGAAATTCGGAAACGAGTTAAACTCGGGGAATTCCTCGAGTATACTATATATAAGCTAACTGGGTTATTTTTAGTTATAATTATAATATTAGTAGGAATTATTAAAAAGATTACCGAAATACTTAATTACTTAACTCCGAATTTATTACTAAGCCCGGCTTAGAAAGAAATTAAAATAGTAATATCCCGAGAAATAAGAAGTTCTTGGATTTAATTTATAAATAATCTATTTAGAAATAATTAAAATATAGAACCTTTTTACCTAGAACTTTCCGAACTAAGATTATAAAAATACTAATATTTTTCTAATATTACTAATTAAAAAGAATATAAACTAGTTAATTCTCTAGTTAAAAAGAGATAATTATAGCTTATAAAAGATATACCCGGCCTAAACTTTTCTATTTTAATAATCCCTTATAGAAATATACTAAATAATACTTTATTCTTTATTAGAACTTCTTTTAAAGAAACTTTAGTTAATATATTCTCAAATCTAGTAAGCCCGCTTATAATATTAAATACTTCTCTTTTTTATTTCCTGCTATTTATATTAGGCTTAGAAGAAACCCTAATTTTTACTAGATTTAATATTATTAATTTTATTAACTATTATATAAACTTATATAATATTTACTTTATTAATAATAAGAAAAGAAAGCTATTATAGAACTATAATACTATTTATAAAAAGATTATTAAGTTTTTGCCCGAATTTAGTAAAATAAATAAGATATAAAATAATCTTATTAAAATATTAAAAGCCAAGTTCAAATCCGAGAATAGTTACTAATTAATATATTTAATAAACTTTCTTTCCGAGTTTATAAAAATTAACCGGAATTACTAAGCTATTAAAAACTATTATTATTAATATATATCTATTTTTGTAATACTAGTAAATAAAAAAGTTTTATTCGAAATTAATTAAAATTATTTATTTCTTTTAGAACTTTCCTAAAAGTATTAAAAAAAGCTTTATACTAGATATTATATTAATAATCTCAAGCCCGAAACCTATATAAAGTTTAAAAAGCTTTATAGAAATACTTTAGAATTTATATAGGTTAATTAAATAAATAAGGCTTTAGAGCTATAGAAAGAACTAATAGTAAAGTATAAGTATAATATTAAGAATCTAATATAAAAATATAGCCGTTTAGTTAAAATTCCTAAAGGTACTAAAAAGCTTTTTCCTATAATAGCTACTAGCTTATTCCTAATTAAAAGAGCCCAGATTAATATTCTAATTAAAGAAATAGCTAATCTAAAAATTTATTTTAGTAGATTAATAAATAGAAGAAATATTAACGGGTCCTTAATATAACTTTATTTAACTAATTTAAATTTTTAAAAAGAATCTTATAAAAGCTATAATTCTTATAATATTATTTATATATTTAATATTAATTCTTTTACTAATATATGAAATATCTAATACTAGTATTATTAGAATAAAGCCAAGATTAATAATATGAGATATTATACTAACTATTATCCGAACTATTTATAAGACTTTAAAGCTAGTATATATTATTTTAACTATAATAGAAAATTATATTTAGGTTTAAGAAATCTTAATATAATACTAATAAGCTTAAACCGGATTTGCTTTTATAGCTTCTAGGTTTAACTAGTATAATACGGCAAGCTATACTCTTCTAAAATTATATTATTTTAGTAATTTTGAAGTTTTAGTTATATAATAAAAGGCCGCAGTCTTTTATATATAACTTATAGGAATTATATAAAAAAGCTGGTTTTTCTATAGTTCTAGAGAATAATTCCTTTTTAATATTTAATTAATTAAGCTTTTATATACTATATACTATTTATACTTTATTATTTATACTTTTAATTTTATTATTTTATTATTAAGTTATGTTTTATACTCTAGTATACTTTATATAGGTTTTTGTCTTATTATAGTTTCTTTTTTATACTAGTTATAACTAATATAAACTTTAATATTAATTAGTCTAATTATTCTTTAAATAATATTCTTTAATATCTGCTTTCTTATATTAGTAAATCTATTATTAACTAATTTTTTTATATCTTTCTCAAATAGATATAGAACTAATACTTTTCGAGTTCTTTTTAGAATACTATAATTAGAAAAAAATAACTATATTTAATTTTTTTTCTTTTAAACCTATAATTATTCTTAAAGGCCAGACTATAAGTATTTATAGAACTAGTATTAATTATAGCCCGTTCTCGAAAAGTTCCTTTTATAAAAGACCTTCAAATATAAATATTATAATAATTAATAAAAAAAAGACTAAATCTATAAGATTTAGTAATTATTTAAAGATATTTAAGATTTAACTAGAAAAGAAAAGTTATTATAGTACTTCTCGTTATAGTATAAAAGCTATTAGAATTCAGGAATCCGGAATTATAATTAGTAATAATAAAAATAATAAAGCCTAATAAAATACTAATACTAATATTAAAGAAATTATAAATAAAGAAATAATAAAAGTTTTTATAAAGTACTTATTTCTAAAAAGAAAAAAATATCTTTAATATAATAATAAGTATAAAACTTCGAAAAAAGCTAAAGTTATTATTAGATATCTAATAATAACTCCATTTAATATTATATATTTAAGAGACTTCTTTTCTTTATCTAGTATTTCTTT